GGAGGGTCCCAGTCCCTGCTGGTGGCAGGGGCTGATGGCCCCTGACCCTCACACTCACCCACACACTGCAGCACAATGAGGAACTCGGACTCAGCCAGGCCAAAGGCATTGGCTGGGTCTTCCAGCACGTTCAGCAGGCTGCCACTGGAGCAATATTCCATCACCAGCACCTTCTGCTTGCTGCTGCCCTGCAGGGGAGATGGGGAGGGCTCAGCCAGCCCCGTGTCCCCCCAGCCAGGCAGGACCAGGTGCCCTCCCTCGGCTAGTGAGCCCCAGGGTTTCCCAGAGGGGTTCCCACTCACCGTCTCCTCCACGGCGAATAATTTGACAATGTTTTTGTGGTTCAGCTTCCGCAGCATCTCGAACTCTCTCATCTGCACCTCCTGGGGCCGCAGGTAGCTGGCACTGTTAAACACCTTCACAGCAACCAGCTCCCCCGATTTCTGGGAAAAGAGCAAAGAGAGGGAATGAAAAGAGCAAAGAGAGGGAATGAAAACCAGGCGATGCCATTCACGCGCAAAGCAGCTCCAGGCGCTCTGTCCCGGCTCCCACACCCCACTCGGGACGCAAACGATGAAATGATGCCCCTGCAGCGCGTCTGCTCGGCTGCACAAACAAACCGCTGTTCTTCACCTCCCTGCCCTTCCTGTCCCGGCCCCACGTGCTGCGTGTGGCTGTGTTTATGCGGCCCCACAAAAAGTTCCCGTGTGCAGCCGAGGCTGGCAGCTCCCCGCGGCACGGCGATGCTCCCAGCCCGCTCTCGCAGCCGCCGCTGCTGCATTTGCTCAATAAACTTCAAAGGCTGCTGAGGAGGAGAGCCCGCTCCAAGCCCGGCAAGTGTTTGCATGAAGTATGCAAATGGCCAAGGATGGGGTTTCCAAAACCTCTGGGCATTCCCCGGGAAACAGCAGCTTCTTCCTCCTGCGCCGCGGCGAGCAGAGCCGACTGTGAGCGCCCCAAAGCCGCCCTCGACCAACAGAGAGGGGAAGGAGCCCAGAAGAAAATGAAAATAAAACGGAAAGCAGCGCCTGAGCTGCTCCACAGGCAAGGATCTCCCGGCAGGGCGAGCGGAGCGGAGCTCGGGCATCCCGAGCAGGGACGGGGGCACCGGGGCTCTGCATTCGGGGTTCCTCCCCCCAGCTGCCCCCGCTCACCTTGTTGCGAGCTTTGTAGACAGAGGCCGTGGCCCCCTGGCCCAGGAGGTCCTCGGTGCTCCACAGGTAGTTGGGGGTGCTCTGCATGTCCAGCAGAGCGCGGGGCTCACCCCGCGCGGGTGAGATTTACCCCGCCGAGCCCCAGCCTTTACCCCGCCGGCAATCGCGGCCGCTCCCCTGGGCAGCCCCGGGGCCGAGGCCGAGCATGGAGCGAGCCCCAGCAGCCCGGGGCTGGCAGCAGAAGGCCGGCGGATGCCAGAGCTCGGGAGCGGAGCGGGGCCAGAGGCGCCTCCCCGGCCGGGAACCGAAACCGCGGATTGCAAAACCCGCCCGGCGAGCACGGCCGCGCTGCAGGAGGAAACGCCTCAGCTTCCTGCTCGAGAGAAAACTTCCCAGCCGGGCTGCAATCTCCCAGCACACCGGGCAACCATCCTCCGGGACCCGGGCAGCAATCCCCGGGCACGCCGAGCAGCCATCCCCGGGCCCCGAGCTGCCATCCCCCGGAGTACCCGGGCAGCAATCCCCTGAGCAGCTGGGCAGCTATACCTGGGCACACCGGGCTGCCATCCCTGGGCACACCGGGCTGCTATCCCCCGGCAGGCCGGTCAGCAATCCCCTGAGCACCTGGGTAGCCATTCCCCGACCCCGGGTTGCCATCCCCCGACCCCGGGCTGCCATCCCCCGACCCCGGGCTGCCATCCCCCGGCACGCCGGGCTGCTCCGGGACAGCTCCGCTGGTGGCTGAAGCTGCTGAGCTCCGGCTGCCATCGGCACTGCCGGGGATTTGGGAAGCAGAGCCGGATCAGGAGCAGCTGGGCAGCCATACCTGGGCACACCGGGCAGCAATCCCCCGGCACACCGGGCTGCTATCCCCCGGCACACCGGGCTGCTATCCCCCGGCAGGCCGGTCAGCAATCCCCTGAGCAGCTGGGCAGCCATCCCTGGGCACACCGGGCAGCAATCCCCCGGCACACCGGGCTGCTATCCCCCGGCAGGCCGGGCAACAATCCCCTGAGCACTTGGGAAGCAATCCCGCGGAGCACCCGGGCTGCCATGCCTGGGCACACCGGGCTGCTGTCCCCCGGCACACCGGGCTGCTATCCCCCGGCACACCGGGCTGCTGTCCCCCGGCAGGCCGGGCAACAGTCCCCAGAGCACTTGGGCAGCAATGCCCCGGCACACCGGGCTGCCATCCCCGGGCACACCGGGCAGCAATGCCCCGGCACACCGGGCTGCCATCCCTGGGCACACCGGGCTGCTGTCCCCCGGCAGGCCGGTCAGCAATCTGTCAGGGATTTGGGACAGGGAGGAGTGTGGGATGCAGGTGACATACAGGGTGCAGAGCAGGATGTGGGATGCAGGATGCAGAGTGGAATATGTAATGTGGGCCAGGGTGGGGTGCAGGATGTGGGATGCAGGATGGGATGTAGGACAGGGTGGGATGTGGGATGCAGGGTGAGATGTGGGATGTAGGACAGGGTGGGATGTGGGATGCAGGGTGAGATGTGGGATGCAGGTGACATACAGGGTGCAGAGCAGGATGTGGGATGCAGGACAGGGTGGGATGCAGGATGTGGGATGCAGGATGGGATGCAGGACAGGGTGGGATGCAGAATACAGGGTGAAATATGTAATGTGGGCCAGGGTGGGATGCAGGATGTGGGGTTCAGGGTGGGATGCAGGGCAGGATGTGGGATTCAGGGCACTCTGCTGCCTGCACAGGGCAGAGCAGGGCTGCTGCTGTCCCTGCTCACTCTGTTTTCACTGTGACCAGCCCAGCATCAGGGTCCCACTGTCAGGAATTATTCCAGGCTGGTGTGGATGCCTCTAAAGGCTCCATCCTCACCAATAAAGCCTCCAAAGGTCTGAGAGTTCATCAGCCTGTGGGGCATCCAAACCTCGACACTGCTTCACCAGCCTGCACACAAACCCCACCCCTAATTAATTCCTTAATTCCTGCTGAGCTTCATTTTCCCATCCAGGAGTGAGTGCCTGGAGCAGCCTCCAGAGAGCTGGCAGAGGGCACAGCCTGGCCCTCTCCCTGAGGTTATCCAGGGATGCCAGGGCTGGAAGGGGTGGCACAGTCACACACAAAAGCTGAAATCACTTTTAATGAAGTAATTTTGCTGCAGCCCAGCTGACAGGAAGAGAAAGGGCCGGGGTGACTTCTTGAAATTGTGTCTGGTTTTATTTTCTACACATGTGAAACAGGAGCATCAGTCTGTCCCCACGCTGCTGGCCAAGCCCGTGGCTGGGAGCGCAGGGAACTCACCCCCAACACCTGCCTGGCTTCTTCCAGCCCCCTTATGCTTTCTTCTGCTATCCTTTTAAAATTCCCAGCTCATTTCCTTTCCCTGGTTGCCCCATCAGCGGGATTTCCTCCACAATCCCATCTGAACCCCAGGACTGGATGTGCCCACAGGGGACAAACTGGGAGAGCGCATCTGGCGCGGGCTGGGAGGGAAAAAAACCCGGCCTTGAAAGCAATTTGTGACAAGAATTAATTGTTCCAGCTGGTGGCAGCAAAGCCCGAAGAATGAAGGACGAGCAGCGAGCTCTGTGTGCAGCAGGGACCTCGTCCTTGGGGTCAGAAAACCCGAGAGTCCCACGAGCCCAGTGCTGTCCCCTCGGTGTCACTGTGACAAACCTGTGACACGTCCCTGAGAGCTGAACCATCCCAGCACTCACCAGGGTGTTTCTTTGTTAAAAACCACCAAAAACCATTTCTTTGTTAAAAACCATGGGGTTTGTGAGGGAGGGTTGGCCCCACCTGTGGTTTGATGAGGGTTTAAGAGATAATAGTGTCTTCTGCTGGGCAGTGACCAAGGGAAAATCAGAAATCCCTTGTTATCTGTGCCACCCCATTGCTGTCTGACTCCTATTTCATGTTTTAAAAACAAAAAGCCATGAGCAGCGTGCCCAGCTGGCTCTGGGGTGGTGCCACAGAGGCTGCTGTGATTTTGGAATTAAAACATCCTGAATTTCCTGAGGAGATGTGGGACAGGGAGCACAGGGATGTTCACCCCAGGGACAGGGGGGAAAAAATGCCTCAATTAAACATCAAACCTCACTGAAAGTAATTCCTTTGAATCTTAAGAAGCCAAAATGAACAGCCCTGCCACGTTCCCCCTCCATGCTCTGAAAAAGGCCCATGGAAAAACCGAGATGGGGGCAAGCTGGTAATGATAAAATAATGATCCAATCCATAATCTCAATCTTAAATCCTCTTTCCTGAGCCAGTTGGGGGTCCATCCTCCACAGGAAAATGATGAAGATTAAGCATTTTTAAATCAGGTCACTGCCAGGGAAGCGTTTGCCCCAGGGAATCCTGCTGTGGTGGCTGCGTGCGAGCCCAGGGTGGGGGAACACAGGGCTGGAATCGGGAATCAGTGGGCTCACAGAAAGAATGGTTTGGGTTGGGAGAGACCTTTCCAATCGCATCATTCCACAGCAGGGACACCTTCCACTCTCTCAGGGTGCTCCAGCCTGGCCAGGGACACTCCCAGGGATCCAGGGGCAGCCACAGCTGCTCTGGGCACCCTGTGCCAGAGCCTCCCACCCTTCCCAATATCCCATCTAAACCTGCTCTCCTTCTGCTTCAGGCCATTCCCTTGTTTTATCACCACATCCTCAGTGTCCCCCTTCTCTCTGTGCCACCACGCTGCCCCTGCCCCCTGCCATCGAGTGTCCCCAGGATGGCACCAGGAGCTCCTGGCTCCTGCAGATCCTTCCTCACCCACTCTCCAGCACCTCCAGCAACATTCCTGAGCATTCCAGCAGCCCCCCAGGCCATGCTCTCCCTCTGTCCCACTCAGCCCCAGGACATCACACACCGGCACCCTCAGGTCAGTGTTTCCACCATACCCAAAACATTTATTTCTCCAAAACTATTGCTAATGACAATGGATACATTTTGTTGCCCCAGTATGGATTTAACACTTCCAACACATCGACTCCTAATACTGTACAAGACTGTACCAAAAAGGGGGAGGGAAAATAAACCAAAACAAAAAAAGGCTGTACCTCCATATTGTACAGAGTTCTATGTACAAAGTACAATTTTACACAGTTTAATATATACACCATATATATATTGGTGTAGAAGACATGAAACAGTGGAAACTTGTTTTAGCAAGAACATTCCATCCCACCATGAAACAACTGCTGCTGACAACCCCAGGTTCAGACAGAAAAACACAATTCCTACACTTTGCAACCCGATTTTCCTGCCTTCCAGCAGGACCACTGGAAATCAGAGATGGATTTCAGCAATTGCCCTGTTTGAGCTACATCGAGCTGGGCTTTCAGAGAAGCTGCTGCTCACAAGTATTGCTCCAGCAGTTTGGCACACTCACGAGTCCAACCCCTCGGGCTTGGGTTGTTCTTCACACCTCAGGGCTGTGCCTGGAGGAAAGGCTGGTGAAGTCCACTTCAGGAGTAAGGTTACTACAGTGCCTCAAAAAGGACAGGCCCACCTACGATTCCTGCTGCAAACTGCTGAATATTTACCCTGTGTGAAGCTTGGCAGATCAAGTATTAGCACGGCAGGGAGCTGCCTTCCCTCTCCACCTTCCCCTCTTTTTGGCCCATCGTTGAAAAACACTTTCATCCCAAACTACGTTAGAGGAAGCACAAAATTTAACAGGAAAAAAAAAACAAACTCCAAACCAACAAAACCCTTGCATTTTCCAGGCCTTGAACTGCTGTTTTTGCATCTCTAGAGCCACCCAAATAGATGGTTTGCTGCTAGAACAGCCTGGAAAAGAATTCATCTGCCTTGTGGTGGGCGGTCGGCGGAACCGCTTGTGCGCGACACAGCCGGGGCCATCCCGGCCCCGCAGGCACAGGGTCAAGTATTTCTATTTTTGTTTCTTATTTTCAAGTACCAGGTTGTCACACAGACACAGAGACATGCAGAGAGCTGATGTGGAAGGAGCTCAAACCCCAAAGTTCAGTCCATGAAGCGCTTGGTGATTCCCCAGGGCTGGTGCTGGAGCGTCCCTGGGGGAAGGACGTTCCCTCCTTTCCACCTCTTGTGCCACCAGCCCACTAAAGGAACAGCTTTATGTCCCCACCTGCATTTGTGGGGCATTAGCCAAGGCCAGACAAACCCACAAAAAGGCTGGGTTTTTTTCGTGAAAGCTAAAAATCTCAAAATAAATAAATCCCCAGCTTGTTAAACTCAATTTCCTGCCCTGGACAGGCCCATGAGCAATGGAAATGCCCCAATGCTCCTCTTTTCCTGTGGGTTTTGAAGCAGTTTTTGAAGCAGTTCCCTGCTCAGGGGAGCGCAGTGTGTTTGCACTTTGGGGCACATCCCTCTACACCCAGGGCTTGGTCCTGCCAAGCACAGGTGCCCCTGAGCAGTGCCACACCTGGGGGGACAGGGGCACCTCCTTCCTCTGCCTCCTGTGCTCAGGGATGTGCTGGACAAGGGCGTGAGCTCAGCCTCTCATGGGATCCATCCAACTGGCTCAGCAGGGATTTTTGGGGCATTTTCCCACCATTCCTGATTGCTCACTGAGGGCAACACCTCCTGGAAGTGTCCCCTCCACACGGATCCCACCGAGGGAGCGTTCCCACGCCCCCGGGGAGGATCTGAAGTGCTGAGAATCAGAGACGTCGATTTTTGCAGAAGGACATCTCCCAAAAGCTCCATAAATCCCCAAAGCTACGCCATGCTCCGCTGAATTTGAGGTTTTTGACACAGAGAAGAAGAGAAATAAGGCAGCAAACTCCACCTGCAATGAGCTTCTCCTGTCCCAGTATTGCTGGAGCTCTCCCAAGTGCGCCGGGTCGGCCCCGTACCAAGTGCAAGGTGGGGAGCTACAACAGATGGGATTTCTTGCCAAGCTGAAGTGTTTTGATTTAGTAAATAAATTTATGAGAACTCGGTTATCTTAACCTACTTTTGTGCAAGAACAATCTTGCCTTAAAAAAGAAAAAAAAAAAAAAAAACAACCTAAAAAGAAAAAAAATCAACAAAAACTCCCAAAACCCAACACATGAGGTATTCAGCACAGGAAACCCAAAGACTCCTTTTGAACAGGTATCAAAATACAGACAATATACAACAACTTTTTTTTTTTTTTTTTTGTTCTGCTGTCACAGTGCACTCTAATTATTTACTCATTTTTGTTGCAATAAAATACCCAATACAGATAAAATGAGAGGGTTTGATCGTGTCCCACTGCTAGGACACAAAGGACAAATTTACAATTCATAAACTTTGGACGACCTCAGAGAGGCAGAAATTAAGCAATGGTTAAAGCACACTGCTCCATTCCCAACTAGGGAAATAACCCAGAAAAGGTCTGAGCTTCAGAAACCATTCAGATTGATCACCTAAAACCATGTTTCATTTTAAAAGTTTTTAGGTTTTTTTTTTTTTGCTTTGGATTATTTCAATCCAACACCTGATGAACAAGGTTCATACAAAGCACTATCCAACAGACAGACGTCATTCCAGTTATCAAACACTTCTTTTGTCTTCATATTCGACACAAACGTTACAGGAAAAGTCATGAAAAGAGGAATTTCCTTGGAAGAGCTAAAATTTCTTCGGGATATGAAGATGTGGAGTGACATTGGTACCTCCCCAAGCAAACCACTGAGTCAGACCTGTCCTCAGGGAGGGAACATTTCCAGTTCCTCCTTCCCACCTTTCCGGCAGCCACTGCTCACAAAACACTCGTGGCAAACGTCCTCTCAGCCTTGTGTGTTCAGAGTGAGGAGGACAAGCTGAAAATCTCCTTTTTTCCCCCATGATTTTGTGTGTGATTTTCTTGTTTCATCCCTCCCACGTGTGGTTTTTCCGCCCGAGGAAGAGGAAGGAGGAGCTTCAGCCTGTCCTATTGCTTGTTGTCAGTCACAGTGCACACCAGAATTCCAGTTGAGTTGCTCCATATCCAGGTGATCCTGCCAAGCACCTTGCCCTTGGCAGCAGGATTGTCCCAGAGCTGTGGATGCTAGAGAAGCACAGTAATAATTCAGATACAGACAGTTGCTGTTACAGTAACCTGAAGTCTTTTTTAAAAAATTTTTTTTTGTTTTGTTTTTTGTTTTTGTTTTCCATCTAATTCCACACTTCAGACCTTGAAGCTGGAAAAGAGCAGCTCCTCCAATGTGCTGTGCGTGGCTGAACACTTATTCTTAGGAATATTGAATGCTAGGCATAAAAATATAAAAAAGAAAATAAGGCATTAAAATGAGGCAAAGTCAATTTACAGAGATCCTGCTCTTGACACAGATTAACTTTGGTCATTTGAGACCAAAAAAAAAAAAAAAGAAAAGAAATCAAAAAACCCAAAAATTCTTACTAAAAAGGAAATGCCAGAAAGTTCTGCCTGAGCAAAAAACTACAAGTTTAATCATTCTTTTTTTTTTTTTTTTTTTTTTCCCCAAAAGAACAAGTGATTCCTTGGTGGTAGAAGTCCATCAGAACCTGAGAGCAAAGGTGGCTGGTGGCACTGGTGGCATCTCCTGGAGGGGCAGGGACAGTCACACTCGTACCGTGGGGCTCCCCAGGGAAGCTCAGGAGAAATGGGAAACGAGGAGTGTTCTCACCAAAACCTTCCCAGTGCTCCCCAGTTCTTGCATGCCCTTAACTCAGGGCCCAGAGGAAGCTGGCTTTTTGGAAAGTCATTAATTATGGATTGATTGCTTCTGTAGAAAGGGGGTTGTGCGTGTGGGGATGGACAGGGATGCAGGAAGACCCTGTTCCATATTTCCAAGTATCATCCTAAATGCATGAGAAAAGGACATTTCAGCAACTCTTCTTTGTTTCTTCTTTTTTAAGTGCCAATTAAACTGACTTTGCAGTCACCAGGAACTCACAAACTGCAAGGAAACTCAGCTTAAATGGGTGAGAAAAATGACTTTTCTTATCTCGTCCTGAATTCATTATTTGATGGCAGCCTAAGATGTGCAGCTTGTTTGAAATCCCAGAAAAGCTGAGGAACGAGGCGAGCTCAGGGTCAGCCAGTCTCCACTGCTAAGTGGCACAAGCCTTTTAATTATTAAATTAAATAACTGTGGGCACTGTGGAGAATTCCCCGGGGAGTACAAAAGAGTCCGTGGATGCTGCTGGCTACGGATAAATACAAATAATACCAAAGGATTCATTCATTCACAGGTCAGCCCTGCATGGAGCAGGCATGGCAGGGAGCACGGGGGGCAGCCACTGCAGAGGCCACGTGCTGTCACACCCCTGTCCCCAGCAGCGGTCCCTGCTCTGCTCTATAAGAGCAGAGAGGGACAAGGCAGGGAGCTGAGAACTCCTGAGCGAAGTTTTTACAGTGCTTGGTGCTGGGATGGGGGTCAGGATCTGTCCTGAGGAACGGGCAAACCAGCAGAGTGTGTCTTGGGGATGGGCTCCCAGCAGAGGATGCTTGTTTTCAAAATTATCTCTTTTTTTTTTTTGTTTTGTTTTACATTCAGTCTCCCGAGAGCAAACACCACATCAGAGCCCACGGGCTGAAAATGCCACTGGAAACAATAAAGCTGCTTTTAAATATGGGAGAGCAGAGGGGGAAACCAGTGAAGATTGTCCATAAGCAATGACTGGGCTCTTTCTTGTGCTCCCAGAGCTCAGGAAAACATGTTTGTTTCTATTTGCACAGACACGTCTCACGTAGAACTCCACAAAATCTACGAGTGTTCCAGAGTAAACTCATTTCTCCATGACAAATAAAGCATGAGGCTGGATGGCCAAAGGCTTTGGCCCTGAGGGGGAGGAATGGGGAGCAAACAAACAAAACCAGAGGATGTGATGGAAGTCGAGACAGACCCTTAACCACCGTGGCACCAGCGGGCGACGGAATAATAATAATAATAATTATAATTATTATAATAATAATGCACAAGAAACAGGCATGTCCAAGCTCCACGTAACCAGTGGCACCAAAACATGCAATAGACTAAAATCTATCCTATTGTTTCCCTGTGGTAAATGAAACACAGAATACAGAAGTCACTACACCAGTATCCCAAAACAGGACACCACCAAATGTTCCTTCCAGCGGCCGAACACTTGAACAAGGCATCAAAACCAAAATCCAACTCATCCCTTGGTGTTTTCCTGCTCAGCTTCACAGTGGCTCGTGGATTGTGGATTTCCCAAGCGTGGCAGGAGCTGTCCTGGGGACGTGGGATGAGGCTGTGGCCGCTCAGGAGCTCCCAGCAGCTCCCAGCAGCTCCCCTTCAATCCAAGGATTCGTTAAATAGGAATTTTAATGTCTTTGCCAGAGTCACTCCATCTGGAACAGCAGGAGTTGTACCCAGAGAGCAGCAGGGGTGCATCAGACAGTACAGGACTTGTCAGGGGGCTGCTGGGCTGCAGAGGAGGCCACGCCGGGGGTGCTGGCGCTGGTTTTGGGGAACACGGCGGGCTTGGGGCGCGTGGCCGGCGGCTTCACCTGCGTGGCCATTTTGACAGACTTGACGGGCCTGAAGGTGCAGGGGATGTCCCCAGCAGTGCTGGCACTGCGCTGGAACGGGGGCTCAGTGTCCTTGAGGAGCTGGGTGTGCAGGGGGCTGGAGGGCTCCGAGGTGGGGGCCACCACCGGCGAGGTTTTCAGGGGCTCCAGGGTGTCCAGGACGACGTCGGGCGCGTGCTTGACGCTGCTCTGCCGCTCCAGCTCCCGCAGCTCGTTCAGGGCTGAGTTCATGGTGGCTTCAATGTCCTGCAAGCACAGCAGAGGAGCACAGTGAAGGCACGGCCCAGACACACAAATCACCAGGTAAAAGCCAGGTTTTGAGCATGTTTTTTGTTTTCTAAACCGAACCGTGCAGGGCCACATCGTGCGGCCAATAATCACGAGAATTTTCCAGCAATAGGGAGCAAAATAATTGCTAAGCACTGCCTTGATGCTAATCTGACCCTTCATGGCTCCTGATGCTGCCCAGACTTCAAAGTAAAGACCCAAATGGCAGCAAGGAACAGAAACCAAAGCACTGGTGCCCATTCTTGCAGTTTATTTGGCACGGGAGGTTCAGGAGAGTAAATTCCTGAAGGGAGCACTGATGGCTTGGACACTGGGTGGGCCACACACTGAATGCTGAAATCCTCGTGGGCTCCTGCTGCCTCACTGGTTTTCCTGCTGAGCTGTTCCCAGAAATGTATTTCACAGGACTCAGAATTTTAGAAAACACAGAAGATGCCAGAAACACGTGTAGCAACCAAAACTGGCCCTTCTCCTTCCTCTTAAAAGTCATTACAGTTGTTAACAAATAAATATAGAGAACATTTGAGCTAAAACCATGGGGGTTTTGTCTCAGGACCTACACGTTGTCTGCTGGAGAGTGCAGTGGTGCACAGAACTCCCTGGGGAGCAGGAGAGCTCAGTCTGGCTGTGACTCACACTTTTGGCTGCAGCTTTCCAGCTTCCTCAGAGCTTTTTCAGGGGGTGGGGAAGGTAAATCAGTCAAGGAATGGTGGAAGAAAGCAGAGGCAGAAATCTGACGCCTCCCACTCTATCTTGAGGCCAGGCAGATTTTTGTTATGAAGTTGGGGAAATATGTAAGATGGTTATTGCATGGTGCTTGAGCAGATACTACAGAGAAAAACACTGATTTAACACAGCTTGGGTTTTTCTCCTTCCTCTTTTCTATTTATTTTCCCCTCCTCCTTCCTTTTTGTCCCCAGACTCTTCTCCAGTGAAACAATGGAGTGAAGGTTCTGGCAGGGAGAGGAGACAGAACAACTTCAGTCAGAGCCTAATTGAAAAAACAAAGAATCTGATTTATATCAACCAAAGCCTCAGAAGGACAGGGAAGCACAACAGGAGCTGTACACCACATTTCCACTTTAACAAATGGGCTTAAGGTAGTTAAAATGGCAAAATACAAATTCCCATCAGCATTAAACCCATAGAGTTTTAATGCGCCCCTTATTTATTATGTGGAGCTGCTGTTTTGTCAATAAAAATTCAGTTTATTTTTCACATATTTCCCCCCTGCTCCTTAGGAACCTGCAGAGCCTGAGCCAGGCAGAGCAGTCAGGTCTCCAGGGCTGGCTTTGTAACCTGAGCCTGGAGCATTCCTTGGCTTCAGGCAGAGCCACCCATCCCACCCTGCAAACAGTGGGTACAGACAGATGCAAGTGCAGGCACATCCACCTGGGAAGAGCCCTCTGGAAGAGGGAAATCTGTAAATTCACATCTTTTATAGCCTGACTTCAATGCCCCTGTGTAAATAACTAACTCCTGAAAACCAGCAGGGTTGTGTTCAGAGCTGGTTGCTGATCACACTCTGAGCCCTGCAAGAAGATGAGGATGCCACTGGAGCACTGCACTCCCCTCACCCCAAGTCAGCAGCCTGCTTTTATTTGGGCTCTGCTGCTCCGTGCGCTTCCCACGTTGTGGGTTTGTGTGTGCTGGGTGTTTTAGTGGTGATACTGGTAGGAATACCTTGCATACTTCAGTGTGTACAAAAAATAACAGGCAAAACTATCAAAAAAGTTTTTAACATACAAGAGAGAGAAGTGGGAAATGGATTTGCAGAGTTCTCAAAATCTTGCAGAGATAGTAGATGAAAGTATAGACATGGATGTCACACCACAGGCAAGCCTGCACCAGTGACAGGAGAGTGTTAAATCCACAAGAAACACTTAATTTCTCTCATGTCTTGAAGTTATCGTTGCTTAATTCTCTGCTGGCAGCTTTGGAATCGGTGTCACTTTCTGAAATGGATGCTTTTAGTGTTGAGATGAAATTCTGGGTAACCAAAAGGGCCAAGTTTTTATGAAGGAAGGACCTGACTCAAGCTGCACCAAGGGAAATTTAGGTTGGATATTAGGAAGAAGTTTTTTACAGAAAGGGTAATGGAATGGCTGCCCGGGGAGGTGGTGCAGTCACCATCCCTGGTGTGTTTAACAAAGCCTGGATGTGGCACTGGGGGCCAGGGTTCAGTTGGGGTGTTGGGGCTGGGCTGGACTCCATGATCTTGAAGGTCTCTTCCAACCCAGTGATTCTGTGATTCTGTGACTGTTTACCTTCCCTCAGGAAAGCAGCCTCAGTGCCTGCGCACAGAGAGGATGAAAGCCCAGACTGGGGCTGTGTCCTAAGCTCATATTGCACTGAGAGAATCACAGAATGCTTGGGCTTGGAAGGGACCTCTGGAGTCCAACCCACTGTCCAGGCAGGGTCACCTGCAGCAGGTGACACAGAAACTCATCCACGTGGCTTTGGGGTGTCTGCAGAGAGGGAGACTCCAGGACCTTCCTGGGCAGCAGTTCAGGGCTCTGCACACTCATGGACAGAAGCTCTTCCTCATGTTGAGGCTGAACTTTTTGTTTTAATCTATGGCTCCTTGTGCTGTTGCTGAACAGAGCGTGGCATCATCCTCACACTCCTTGGGGACATTTTATCCCCAATTGTCTTGTTCTGTTTATACTGAATAATAAGTTTTGCACCTTTAAGACTTGTTCCAGAGAGTGCAGGGGGGAGGAAGAAGCCGCAGTTTGCTTTCAGACACTGCACTCACTCCTCCACATTCCTGCTCCTGGTCTGTGCTGTCTGCGGATGGACAGACAGCAGGACAGAGCTCTCCTTTGCTTTTAGTTAGTTTTAGCTAGCTGAGGCAAAGAAGTTCCCTGGACTGTGGTTTTTCTTTTTCTTGGAGCTGTTCAAACCTGCTCTGGACTGAACACCCAGCAGAGCACTGGCAGCTCCACCTGTGGCCCCTGGCCGGGCTGGGCTGCGGCATTTCCAGCACCGAGGGACTGACCAGAGACTGAGTGAGCCAAACTGCAGCCCAGAGAGGGGACTTTTCTGACTTTACCATCTCTTTTTGGAGCAGCAAAAGGTTTCATTCTTTAATATTGTTTGGGTTTTATTGTTTAATAAACAGGTTTTTTCCCCACTTTTCTGCAAGGAGGTATTTTCTCCTGAACCGGTTGCGGTTCGGGGCTGATTGAATCTGCTTTTCTAGAGGAGCCCCTCTGGGGGTTCTCTCCCAAACACCTGGCAAAGGGATTTTCACAAAACACCAGTGCCACACCACAGTGCTGCTCACCTGTGCGATGACCTCGGGGTCCAGGGGCCGGTGGTTGTTGAAGCTCTTGGAGCGGCCGGCGGTGACGGCCTTGCGGATCTGCGGGCTGTCCATCCTGCTCTTCAGCGACGAGTGCCGGCTGATGGAATTCAGGCTGCCGTGCCCACTGATGGAGCATTTGTCTGGAACCTCCTTGGGAAGACTTTGGCTCATAATGGGCTGAGATGAGGGCCTGGAAGCGGCTATGGCCCCGGGGGAGGCTGGTTCTGCCAGGGAACTACCTAGGCCGTGGCTGTCACTTTGACGGAACGCTCTTCTGATGCTGCCTGACTCTGGTTTCTTTCTTTGCCTTCAGTCACAAAAGCAAAACAAGTCAATACAAGCAGGTACAGGGCTGTCATTTGAAGATATCCCCCCAAAACAACACACAGGACAATGGGGAGAGACACAGAGGTACCCAGCTTACAAACAGACCCAGGGGTTGAGGGGTGATTGCGGTACAGTGAAATAATTATAAATTATAAATCATTCCAGTTTCACGCTTCTAACAACAAGGCTGAGTCCTGGCAGCTGTGCACATTCATAGCAAAACCAGAAAACTTGGGTGGAACGTGATTAACTTGGTCAAGAGGAGAAGAACTTATACTGGAACAAAAAAAAAAAAACAAAACAAAAAAACCCTCTGTGCCATCGACAGGTTTTGATGATGTGTTTTTATTACATTCCAAGAGCAGAGCTACAATCTTTGACTGGAGGACACAGTATAAGTCTACTAAGCTCCTGGCCCAAGGCATCAAGTTATTTTTTTCAGAAATCAGCAAGCAAAGACCCCCAGTTTGGGGTTAATGATCATTTCCAATGATTGCTGGTGGTAGGAGATGATTCTTTTTCATGGCTTTGGCAGGACCACAAGGCATGGGCTACAGATAAACCAAGGGATGATGTCAAATGGATGAACTGGTCCAAAGAATTTAGTTTCTACCCCAGCACCATGAGGTCTGACAGCACGATTCCACTCAAATCATGGGAAGGCCAATGCAGCAGAATACTTTATGCCATAGGTCTGAAGCTTGGCATCCATTATACAGGGAAGGATCCATTTATATATAGCACCAGCCCCATGAATAACTGCAAGAAAGTGTTAACTCCAGTAGGATTTTGGCATCCAAATAATAATTCAGTGGGTGGCACAACTGTCATTGCGAAACCATCTGATTTAATTTTGCTCAAGTCTGTTCACACATAGGTCAGAAGATTCATTCCTAAAGAAAAAACAACAAAATGAGTCTTATGCTACTTATTGCTAAATATCAGGTTCCCTAGTAAAGGGAAAAAAAAAATCCCCAAAAACTAGGGTGGACATTCCCCAGGCTTCTAAAAACCACTACACACAACTGTACCAAAGCCAGCAGATGGTGAAGCTCCAGCACAGGTCTGTTATTACACAAATCTCTCCATAACTGGCAGAATGGCCACTCCAGTGGCTCAGACAGCAAATATCATAAAAGAAAGCCCAGATCCCAAGCTGATGCAGATTAACAGGGCTTCCCAGATATCAGTGGAGCTCTGCTGAATCCCATAAGGAAGGCCCAGGCACTCTAGGCCATGAGCAGGGTCCAAACCTTTTAAAAGGATGCATTTATGCTAATGCCTTTATAGACTACATTGTGTTAAATTAGCTGAAGGTTAAGAACATCCCCTCCCATCAAACTGTAATTATCACATAAAACCTTCACTGCACAATGGAGAGAGGTGGGGGTTTTTACCACAAAGGAAATAATCAGAAATATACGGGGATAAATCTGTCTAGAAAAACTATTTAACAGATCATGGAATTTAGTCTGCTACTAGCTTGATTTTCCAGCTTTTTATTATGTGGAGTGTTGGCTAAAGCAACAATTTCTGGTGGAGGAGGCAAGGTTAGAGCAACAGGGGGTTGTGCTGTTCCACTGCAAGCATATGGTTAGTAACCCGAGGTGAGGAGTGCTGCAGAAACAAAGGAGTGCTCCAGGCAGTGCCAGCTGGTGGGACTGCAGGTATGGCATTTATCACAAACTGGGACACAGCTTCCTGGAGGAACTGTCCCCCCAGCCCATCAAACAGCACGTGGCAAACGTGGGGGAGACGTGACAGATCACACAACACGAGGAGGGACGGGGACAACGACACGAGATCTCAGCCCAGCACTCCCCTCCCTTCCTCTGTCTGCTCAAGGCATAGAACAGGGCACATTTGGGAAAACAGGACCAGATGGCACCTTGGAGACAGGGAAGAGAGGCCAGTGGGGTTTCAAATGAGTGATGGCCACGCTGGTGACAGAGAGGGGACAGCAAAATGCGAGTGAGTTAAAAGAGGGGGAAGCAGAGAGAAAGGGTGGCAGTGCTGGTTAATGAATCATTTTCAGGGAAGGAAGCTTTTCACTGGACTCATCACCAAGCTCTTTACAGGCAGGGGAAACAATGCAAGGCTGCTCTTACTTGTTGATGTTTGCAAGGTAAATGTCTGCGACGTGGCCCCCGCTCGGGCAGCTGGCACCAGCTCTGGCTGTCACCTTTTCCTCCGGTGGCTCAGAATTGATTTCTATTTCCGACTTGGGGCTGGACCTTTCCGACATCCCATCCTCACTAGGAAGGAGGAGGGGAGGGTATCACAACCACAACAGCAGCAGCAGTGCTGGGTTTCCAGTCCAGCACTGTGCAAGTGTACAGCAGCACGGTGTGAGGGTCCTGAGAATCACCAGTGTCCTTCAAATCACTGAATGGTTTGGCTGGAAGTGATCTTAATCATCTTCTTCCACCCCCTGCCATGGACAGGGACATCTTATGCTGCCCCAGGCTGCTCCAAGCCCTGCCCAGCCTGGCCTTGGGCACTTCCAGGGATCCAGGGGCAGCCACAGCTGCTCTGGGCACCTGTACCAGGGCCTGCCCACCCTCCTAGGGAACAATTCCTTCCAATACACCCATTCTAATCCTGCATCCTACAGCTATTCCCCCTCCTCCTGAGCACCTGATTCCCGTGAACACCCTGGAGAGCCCAGCTGTGCCAGACACCAGAACAATTCTTTCATCACCCCTCCACCTCTGCGAGCTCCCCTGTGTGAAAACCTGAACTCTCCCGTGGCGTGTGGCCACAAAGCCCCATGTCAGGGTGGCACCATCCTGCCACTCCTTGGGGACATTTGTGTGGATTAGTGGGCTCCCCTATCAGCCTTCTCCTCTCCAGACTGACCAGGCCCAACTCCCAGAGCCTCTCCTCATCCAGAGCTGCCCTGCAGAGCCACTTCCCCCAGGAGGGAAGGGACACGAGATTAAATCCCACCTTGCACTCAAACACCTCTTGTATCCCACTGCAGCTTCTTAGCTGGGTAACAATTAGCACTCTATTATATTAGCACACTGCCTGCTCTGCAGGCAGCCCAGGTGTGGGGTGGCACCTACGTGTCCTGCACCACGATGTACTGGTGGGGGATGAGGCCGTCGATGCCGTTGTGCCGTCCCTCCCACCAGTCGTCCGAGGCGCGCTGGTAGAGCAGCAGAGAGGCTCCTTTCTTGAAGGACAGCTCCCGTGCAGTCCTGCCCAGGTAGTCAAACTTGGCTATGGCCTCTATGGGCTCACACTCTAGGAGATAGAAGGGAATAAAGAGCATTTCAATCAGCACCTGGGCTCGGGGGAGCAGTCAGCAGGTTAAACCTGCCACAAAGCAGAGCGTGAAGAGGAGCAAGTGTTCCTTCTTCAGGCAGCAGAGGGCTGGAAGCAGGAAGATTCACAGGGGAACCTCTAAACTCAAGGACGTTGCCCTTTCATCCTTTACCCTCAGGTTTAGCTTTTCTATTTTTTCAGATTCTGTGCTGCTTTAGTGTGTGGGTCTGGGCTTCACATTAAGGGATGGTGAGCTCTCTGCACAGAGCAGGGAGACAAAACAATTCCTTCTCTAGCTGGGACCAAGGACAAATGATCCAAATCTCAGCCCAAGAGCACAAACAGCGTGGGCTGGAGAGAGAAAAACAAGGATGGGACTTCATGGGCTAAAGCTGGAATTGGACAATTAACTCCAATATGCAAATGGAGCAGAACTTATAAAAGTGAGAGACCCTGTGACCAGTCGTGCATTTTTGTGACCATTTTGGGTTGTGCTGCCCAAGGTGGATCTGTTGAGGCCTCTTAATAAATCCCTGCTTTATTCTTTAGCTCTGTCTGGTCTCTGTTGTAGCTCAGCCTTCCCAGGGCATCAACCTCATCCCCACACAGAGGGCACATTTGTATTTTCCAAGCCCCAAACCCCCTTGCAGCAATTCAAGCCAACACTGATGGAAAAGGCAAGGGCAGAATTAGGGTTTCATTAAAATCAAAAGGGTTTCATTAAAATCAAAAGGGTTTCATTAAAATCAAAAGGCTCACACTCAGGAGATGGAAGGGAATAAACAGTTCACTGAACTCCCTGGGCTCAGGTGAGCAGTCAGCAGTTTAAATCTGCCACAAACCTGAGTATGAAGAGGATAAAGTGCTCCTTCCCTCTTAAGGCAGAAAAATTCAGACGGGAACCCCAAAACTTAAAGATGTTGCCCTTTCATCCTTTACCTCATCCCCACACAGAGGGCACATCTGTATTTTCCAAGCCCTAAACCCCCCCAAAGCAATTCAAGCCAACAATAATGGAAGTGGCAAGGGCAGAATTAGTGTTTCATTAAAATCAAAAGGCTTTCAGAGGTGGGAAGCAGTCAGGTACATTCCAGACAAAAGTCTGCCCAGGGTTCTCTTCCTTAAAAGCAGCTGAAGTGAATCCCCTGGGCAGGCAGGGGAGGAAAACATCCTCTCATTCCAGGCTGCTTCAGAAATAAAGCATCAATTCAGAAGGAAATTTCTGCTGCCTGTGAGGCTCACCTGAGCCAGGAGAGAGGAATTCTGGCACGGTGGGAGGCCCTGCTCTTCATCCAAGTGTCATGGAAGCAAAGGAAAACAGGCAGTGCCTCCAGAGCTGGGCTTGGTGCAGGGGTGAGGACACAGAAGATGCTCTGTGCCCACTCCTGCAGAGCTCACACAGCAGCTCCAGCCATGCCCTGCCACTAATCCAGGGCCCTGCAGGACTCTGACATTATACAGAGGCACAATAAGGGCATTTAAGACACTCAGGAAAATCAATGTGGAATTCCCCTGGATTATTTTTAAGGCTCTGAAAAAAATCTGCCACTGTTTGAGTGTAAATGTGTATTCAGGCAGCTGCTGGTTCTGGGCAGGGATCAGGGGAATGGAGATGAGCTCAACCACACAGCCCCAGTGGGCTCTCTCTAATTACTTTAAAGGAGCTTTAATGCAGCCAAGCAATCCATGGAAATTGAGTTCTTTCCTGGAGAAAGAGATTTGTGGTTCCTCTGCCCTGATCAAAGAGAGATCTGCCACTCCACACAGAGATCTCTGCACCACAGGAAGCCTCTGCAGTGCAAGAGGAAGCTCAAATGGGCTGAGAGACCAAACGTGAGGCACAGCTTTTCCAGTTATTCCTTGGGAGAGGATATGCTCCAGGGGCTGGAGCTGCCTCCAGGCTGCAAGGAGGTAGCAGGGCTTGAGAAAATAATGGTGTGAATCCATCTGAGCCAGCTGGAGCTCCTCAGCCAGGCTGAGGGAGCAGAGCACAAGCATCAGCCCCCAAAAAGCCCCACCAGCACCTGAAATTACCCAGCACCAAGTGACTGAGGGCAACCAGCAGCAGGATCTTGAGATCCACCCCAACAACCCCCCCTGCCACACCTGCCAGCTCAGAACCCTCCCAGCTAAGCCTGTGCTCAGACTCACACAAATGCCATTTATCAGTCCTCAGCAACCAGCCAGGGACTGGGCAGGGTGGGAACAGCCTGGCCCATGCTGGCAGCTTGTGGCAGACCCCCCAGAGCACGTGGGTATCTGGGTTTGGCTCCTTCCTGCCTCCTGCTGGCTCTGCCAGCTTGTCCTGACAGTGAAAACCACAGCAATGCTGGTTTTGGTGTCCCCCTCCACTGAGGAAGGGGATGGAGTGTGCTTTGGTGAATTCCATCTGCTTCATTAAGAAGTGTTTATTGTTCCAGATGAGCGTGGCACTCAGGTTTCTTATGGTTCCAATTTGCTTTTTAGGACTCTGGCTTTTCTCCAGAGGACTGATTTTAGACTTTAATTTCCAGTAGCTTTTTCCTACTTACACTTATGCTCAGAGCAGAAAACTGTGTGAATGAAGAGCAAAAAGGCTAAGCCAAACAATTCCCCCTGCCAGTCTGACAGCTTGGGCAGACAAGCAGCAGATTAAAGCATTTCCACTCGTATTTATAATTTAACAAACACACAATCTGCTTGCCTTTCAGCAGCCCTGACCTCTCATACCTGTCTCAAATCAGTTCAGAGAGGCTGATGAAGTGCACAGATGCTCTCCCCTCACCCCCAAATTCCTCCCTGCAGTGGAGGTGGCTCGGATGACAGCTTTACTTTGGGAAGGTTAATCCCAGCCTCCCCAAAGAGTTTTGGGAGGTTTGGTCCCATCTGAAGGCAGGAGGAGGGAAAAACCCCGGGAAGATCTGTGGTGGAGCTGTACCTGCTGAGAGGTGTGACCAGGGTGTGACACTGCACAGCACAATTAGCATGAGACTCCTTAATTAACCACACGCTGCTGCTCCCTCAAAGAGACCCAGCCCCAGCTCCTCAGTGCCAAGGGCTCCCTCCCAAAAGCTTCCTATGGAATATTCCACAGAGGCTGCAGGACTCCATCCAAAACACCTCCCAGCCTCACCTTGCCCAGGGGCCCCAGCTCCAGAGGCTGCAGAGCAGTGTCCTTCTCTGATCTCTGCTCCTCTGTGCCCTCCCAGTCACCAAAAAGACCTAAAAACCCCCCACAAACAGCACAGGCTGGCAGCAGGCTGCAGGCCTGATCCAGGATTCCCTCCCAGCTGTGGGATCAGGGCCTGTCCTTCCTTACAGCCACTAAAATTCCTGTTTTTCAGAGATCCAAGCTCCTTGCAGCTACTAAATTCCTGTTTCTCAGAGATCTCAGCTCCAGCTGTGGGATCAGGGCCTGTCCTCCCTTACAGCCACTAAAATTCCTGTTTCTCAGAGATCTCAGCTCCAGCTGTGGGATCAGGGCCTGTCCTCCCTTACAGCCACTAAAATTCCTGTTTCTCAGAGATCTCAGCTCCAGCTGTGGGATCAGGGCCTGTCCTCCCTTACAGCCACTAAAATTCCTGTTTCTCAGAGATCTCAGCTCCAGCTGTGGGATCAGGGCCTGTCCTCCCTTACAGCCACTAAAATTCCTGTTTCTCAGAGATCTCAGCTCCAGCTGTGGGATCAGGGCCTGTCCTTCCTCACAGCCACTAAAGTTCCTGTTTCTGAGACATCCAAGCTCCTTACAGCCACTAAATTCCTGTTTCTCAGAGATCCAAGCTCCTTACAGCCACTAAAGTTCCTGTTTCTCAGAGATCTCAGCTCCAGCTGTGGGATCAGGGCCTGTCCTTCCTCACAGCCATTAAATTCCCGTTTCTCAGAGATCCCAGCTCCAGCTGTGGGATCAGGGCCTGTCCTTCCTCACAGCCATTAAATTCCCGTTTCTCAGAGGTCCAGGCTCCAGGAGGACACATTCCCAGGCATTTTCAGAGCTCCCACTCGTCAAGCACACCACTCAGCTGAAGGCAGGCAGTGCCCACTGCTGAGGCAGAACTGATTTCCTTTCCCCTCTCACTGCTGTGTGAACACCAGAGGGTCACACAGAAGGGACAGAGCTGTAAGATCAAAGCCCTGGGAGCCAGGGATGCCAGGGGAGGGTTTGTAGGCAGCTGCTGGAGCAGAGAGGCAGCACAGGAGCACCTGGCAGGGCCACTGAGCAAATTGCTCAAGGCCAGCTCAAAAAGGAGGATGCCTGATTTGAAGGGAGTTCTGCTTCCCACCTCTGCAACTGAGACCATCCAAGTAAAACCACCCCAGAGCTGCAAAGGGTCTGAAGACAGCATCAAAACCCTGTCCTGCCCTGGTGGTCAGCCTGCTCAGCATGCCAGGGATCATCATTTCACATCAGTCACTTCATCCTTCCTCTGCTCTGGAGGGGTCTCACAGGATGCTCCCCAGCCCAGGAGGAACCTTTGGGAGCATCAAGGACACTCATGACTGCAGTGTCACCTTTTCCTTAGGAAATATCCTGGAATTCTCAGCTTTGGTGCCTCTTTTCACTGATCAGACAATAAATGTAACTGAACTTCCTTAAGGAAATCCAAACCTCTGAGAGGCCTTCAGGATTGTCTGCTCTAAAACCCAGCTCTCAGAGAAGACAAGCAGCTTTGGGGGTTGCTTTGCTCCCTTAAAGGGCTTTGAGCACCCAGAGCTCTCCTTCCTGAGCCACTGACAGCAGAAATGCCTGGCACAGGCAGAGGGGAGAGGACACTGAAACACACCCAGCCTCCTGCTGAGACCCCATGAGAAGCAGGGACACGTTCAAAATTGTCAGATAATTCTGGAGATTCCCACGCTGATCCTCCACCTTTGTACCTTCAGCCACCAAATGCTGCCACGTGATGCTGCCAGGGAGTGTTGTGATTCAAACTCCACTTTGGATGTGTCAACAAGCACAGCCTTCCCTGCCTCCCCCAAGGCAGGCTGCACCAGTTTCCCCAGTAAACACCAGACCTCCCATACCATCATCACTGGTGTGGTGCTCAGCTGTGACATCCTGCACTGAATCTTCTGCCAGGGCTCTCTCTCCGTGAGGGCTTTCACTGCAACAGAAGGAAACAGGGACAGCTGTAACTGCTGGGAATGGAGATCCCTCATGGCCAGCAAGCAGACAGAACTGGGAACATGCTGGAAAGCAATCAGACAGAACTGGGAACATCCTGGAGAACAACCAGACAGAGCTGGGAATCCCCATCAGGAGTCAATATTTAGGTTTTGCTGCTACAGACACTTTGTGGATGCATCTGCTGAAGTGGCTGTGGGTAAAAATCAAGCTGAATTTTTTTGTGATCAGCCAAACCAAACATCTTGGTGACTCCTTCTGAGCGCTATTAGCAAAATCCAACTTCACGTCTCACAGCCTGGACCTCTGGAGACACTGAGCACTCACACAGCAGTGCCAGGCTGGGTCCAGCTCCTCCCTGCCGTGCCAGGACTATTCCCCTGGCTGCATTCTCCACTGCTCTAATTAGCTCATTAGATGGCTGATGAGAAAGCTGCAACTTCCTGGGGGAAATCATTGCTTGATTTATAACTTGATATTTCCAGGTCTGTGTTTGTCATCTCCCTCCACCCCTTTTATCACCACCTTAAATGTCCCATTCATTTCCCTCAGCAACTCCCACAGCCCAATTAGCTGCCTGTAAATAAAGATTCCAGAGCACCTAAACTACCAAGAGGACTCATTTATGTTTGGCATGAAGAAAAGCTTTGAAAGGATCAAGAGACAACAAGTGGCAACCAAAGGTTATGTTTTTGTAAGAAGCTCCACGAGCAGCTCCCTCTGGACAGGAGCAGAAAGGAAACTGGAAGAGGATCCATTGCCTCTCCCAAGCAGCTCCAGAGAGCTGCTGCCAGCTGGCAGCCCTGCCTGCCTGCCCTGCCTGCTCCTCTCAGGAGGAAAAAAAAGGGCTAAAAACCAGTGCTGGCTCTTCATCTTACACCAGAAAACTCCTTTGCTGCCTTCTGTGACTCCTTAAAAATGATTTTTCATCTCCTTCACAGAGGAGGAACTTCATCCCTCATTTTGGCCCTGCAGTGGTTAAAATAAGTGATGATGGTTGGACAGTGCTCTCCCCCTGGCAATCTACCTCCTGTGCTCTTTTAAATATGAGGAAAACAGAAAAAGGAGAAGAGCTGAAATGTCTGAACAATTCTGGCGCCTTACTCTGCTCAATCCACAGGACACCAGGCTGCCCAGCATCTCCTGAGCCAGCACCTCAGCAATCAACCCTCCCCATCCTTTGCAAAGCCTTTATGCTCTTTAATAAAGTTTACAGAAGCCTCTGAAGCCAGCTGGAGGCCCCAGGAGGAAGCAGCATTGAGGGCTAAAGTTTCACCCAGACTGTGAAGTCATGTCGAGCACAGCTGCGGCTCCAAGCCCTGCACGGGGCCACGTGCCTCTCCCCAGCCCTGCCTCCTAAAAAGCAGCATTTTCCACCTTAAAAAAATGGTCCTTGCTGCATTTTCCACCTAAAATCCTGTCCTGGCTGAGCCCTGGGTGCTGCTTTGGGGAGCAGTGGTGACACCCTGAGAGCACTCTGCACAGGGGCCATGTGCCTCTCTCCTGCCCTGCCTCCTAAAAAGCAGCATTTTCCACCTTAAAAAATGGTCCTTGATGCATTTTCCACCTAAAAAATTGTCCTTACTGTATTTTCCACCTAAAAATTGACCCTTGCTGCATTTTCCACCTAAAAAATTGTCCCTGCTGCATTTTCCACCTCAAATCCTGTCCTGGCTGAGCCCTGGGTGCTGCTTTGGGGAGCAGTGGTGGCACCCTGAGAGCCCTGAAGGTGACAGCAATAAATCCTGCCAGGGGAATGGAGTGGAGGGATTGCCAGCAGGGAATCGAGGGGCAGCTCTGGTCTCTGCTGCCTGTGACAGTGACAGGACCAGGGAAGGGCTGGAGCTGTGCCAGGGGAGGTTTGGGGTGGAAATCAGGGAGAGGTTTTCCCTCCCAGGCTCCCCAGGGAATGGGAACAGCCCCCAGGCTGCCAGAGCTCCCAGGGATGCTCAGGGTGGGATTTTGGGGTGTCTGGGCAGGGCCAGGGGCTGGATCAGTGATCCCTGTGGGTCCCATCCATCCCTTATCTCCTTCCCTGATATCACCCCAGGACATTCTGCCCCCCACACCCCCCTGTGCCCTGACACCCACACTGGGGGTACTCAGCACACTTTCATTCCCTTCACCTCATGCACAAAACCTCTTGTCCAAATTCGTGTGTTTCCTGAAACCCATAAATATTATTAAGTTGTTTTTTTTTTTTTCCCCCTGCAATTCTTTCATATATAACATCAGCTAAAAACATCAGAGAGAGGGGTGAAATTAAGAGAATTTCCAAAAGGTTTTGGCAAGTCCTGTGCACACAGCAGTGAGTTTGGAGGAGCCTCTAAACCAGGAGTGATCCCACAGCTCTGAGACAAGCCAGGGAAACAAGGCTTGCTCTGTCCCCACAGTGACTGCCTTTAAAAAAACCTATTTACTTTAGCCCAGGAAAATAATCATTCCCATTGCTGTGAGGCTGAAGGAGAGCAGGAGCAGTGGGACACAAATGAACATTCCTGATGCTCAGAGGGAGGGATCAGAGGAGGAAAGCAAAGCCCTCCTTTCCTTCCCCCACTGCCCAAGCTTCCACCCCAGATGACAGGAGCTGCTCTGCCTGAATTGCTTCCAGATGTGCTCTCAGCCTGAGCACGTGGCTGGGCCTCTGGAGCTCCAGGCTGCATGGAAATGGTGATTTTGCATTCCTGCCTCTGCCCTCCCCCTGCAGCCCTGGAAATTCAACTGTGCCACAGCCTTGGAGGTTCAGCTGCAAGTGACCCCTGTGTCTGAAGCAAAGGCACTCCAGCCAGGCAGAAAGAAAAGGCAAAAGCAGGAGAGAAAAAAAAAAAAAGGAAAAAAAACAACAAAAAGAGATTGATTTTGGCAGCTACCAAACCAGAACATCCAAGAAAATCCCTCCACAACCTTGCCCTTCATGATAAGTGAGTGAGGTTTGACAACTGAATAGCTACTTTATACCAGCTTATTTCTTTAAAGCTGATGGCTCTCCAGAGAGACCAGAGCCATCTTTGCTGCTATAAAACAGATTTTTGAAAGGCTGCACCAGATGCTGCAATCCTGAATTAGCCAACACAACTGCAGCATCCTAACCCATGGCTAAGCACCCACCCATGGCTCTGCTCAGAGCATCCAGCATACCAGTAATCCTCTGTGGTTCCACCTCTGCTGTAGACTGGGCCCTCCAGCTCCCTGGGCCCTGGGAAGATGTTCTCATGTTGGATGATGATGGTTTTGATCAGTTCATTGACGTGAGCCTGGCAAGAGACCTGGTCGTGGCCCTCGGGCACAGACATCAGCGTGGGCCCGAAGCAGATGGCCAGGTTGTAGGGATCCATCATGTTCTCTTCACTGAACTGAGATAAACTGCAAAGAACACGGGTGGGAAGGAGGGTGAACAGCAGAAATCACCATCACCATCATCATCCTCTGCTCAGAACATGCAGCTGAGCTCAGAAGGTTTGTTTTGGGATACAAATGGATCCAAGTGAAAAATGAGACACTGATGGTATTTACTGAGAAATTAAATAGAAACTGCAAGGGGAGTTTGAAAGCTCTGGGTGCTGATTTTAAGTTTGAAAGCTCTGGGTGCTGATTTTAATATTTGACTTTATTTCTTCTCTGCTATTGCTGTTCTGAGCCCACCTGCAGCCCATCTCAAGACCAGGGTTACAGCAGGATTAAAACTGAATGGATTTACACTGAAAGAGAGGAGGCTAAATGAGATATAGGGAAGAAATCCTTTCTGTGAGGGTGGGCAGGCCCTGGCAGGGGTGCCCAGAGCAGCTGTGGCTGCCCCTGGATCCCTGGCAATGCCCAAGGCCAGCCTGGGATGGAGGACGGTGTCCTTGCCCTGTCCATCCTCAATAATTCCATGTTTACCCCAGGCCCTGCAGCAGAGCCCTGGGAGCCAGGGATGCCAGGGGAGGGTTTGTAGGCAGCTGGTGGAGCAGAGAGGCAGCACAGGAGCACCTGGCAGGGCCACTGAGCAAATTGCTCAAGGCCAGCTCAAAAAGGAGGATGCCTGATTCCCTGAAGGAAGGGAATGCTGCTTGCCACCTCTGCAACTGAGACCATCCAAGTAAAACCACCCCAGAGCTGCAAAGGGTCTGAAGGGGTCTGAAGGTGCTCCCAGGGGTACTCACTGATTGAGGAATGCAAAGAGGTATCTCATGACAATCAGGGTGGTCTTGGGCAGGTTCAGCAGCACCTTCCGGACGTGCAGCGCTCGCTCCTGCAAATTATCCATGGCTGCAAGAGAGAGAGAGAGCACACAGAGAGAGTCACCCTGCTGCCACAGCCCCAGTGCCACCAGGGCACCCTGCCCTGCACACTGGGCAGCCAGCAGGGCACCAGCAGGAGGGGATTTGGCTGCAGAACCTGCTGGCAAAGCCTCTGCCAGAGAAGGTGCCCGAGCACGTGGGAGCCTCCCTGTGAGCGTGGGAGCTCTGGATGTCACCTGCTCCAGGGGCTCTGGCACAAGGGCTCATTCAGGGCAGCTGGGAAAGGTGGGTGTTTGAAAAGGAAAAGCTGGAACACTCAAATTAACATAGTTAAAGGGTGAGGCAAAGGGCTCTGTGTGCAGCAGCCTGCTGAGAAAGAAGTGGGCAGCATAAATCAGCTCAGAAGGGAGAGCTCCTTCGGGGGAAAGAGGATTTTGCTTCTCAACATAACACAAATCCAAGTCTGGAAATGCATTTATCAGGAGCAGAAAAGCACAGGCCATTTCTGAAGCTGTCTCCTCAGTGATCTTCTGCCTCTCTTCAGAGGCTGCCCCTGCAAAGGCCATTTCTCTGCTTGGACAATGGAATCATTCTTCATTTCTGGGGGACGCAGCAAGAGCCAGGCCACTTAAAAACAATACAGAAACCACAGACAACCCTCTGCCTGGCAGAAACACCTTTAGTAACCATGAAAAACGTTACCAGTGAGTGCCCTGATGATTGATATGCTGGAGCAGGAGGCAGTGGATGGTCCCTTGTGGGTATGAAGCTAAAAGGAGTATGAATAAAAACGACCTTGTCAGCTGAGGCCAGCACACAGGAGAAGGCAGCAGGTATCCAGGGCAAGCAGATATCCAGGGAACCCTGCTGGTGATCCCTGCCTCAGAGAGGGCATTTCTGACATCCTCTGATGACAGCTCTTCAAGATTGTTTTACACGAAAGAAGGTTTTTTGCTTTATTCTCTTTTAAAAGAATCCTGTCACCAAGCACTGGCTCACAAAACTCCATCACACAGCCCTTAAAACCTATGAATTTCCATCTCCTTGTTCATTCCTGCCAGAGCAAGGATGGCTGTGAAAAGGTGATTGCTCAGACTGGATACCAGAGACCAGCCCAGCAGCACAAACCCAGCCAGAGAAACCCAAAAACTCACCCTGGAGGCAGGAAAAATGGGGAAAAGGAGGGAAGAGAAGTGGGGGGATGAGGAAAATGAATCCTATTTCTTTCCAGTTCTTCATGTACTTACTGACACAGGCAATCAGGTCATGGAAGATGTCCTTGGGGAAGAGGGGGTGCTCCAGGCCTCTGAAATAGAGCTTGAGGACTCCTGCTATGGAATCCATGTCGTGGTCATTCTGGTCCCCAGCCAAGGGATCTTCCCCTTAGGAGCAAGGAGAGAAAAATCAGAATACTGGAGGAAATCAAACACTGGAAGAAAAGGATTTGTGTTCAGGCCACCCAGCCCAGCTGCACTGCAAGAGTGAGGCACAGAGAGAGCCCCAGGTGGGAACTCTGCCAGGAATCCCAGGACACCTGGGCAGCTCCTGTCACCCAAATGCCACCCTGGCACCCACGGGGGGTGTGGTGCTGCTGCTGCAGCAGAGACACCCCGGGTGTTTTGGGCAGGGGAGAACATCACAGCTCCAGCACCTGACAGGAGGCTTAAGGCAGACCCAAAACTGCAGCTCAGGTGACAGGAGGGACCACTGAGCATCACACACCTGGCCCAGGTGACCCAGGAGCATCACACACCTGACCCAGGGGACACACAAACATTACACACCTGGCCCAGGTGACACAGGAGCATCACACACCTGGCCCAGGTGTGTGCAGACACAGGCAATGGGGTGGGGGAAGTGTTTCTGGGACAATTTGTTGCTGCAGATCCACCACAGTTTGTCTGCATTACCAAAGGGAAGATGCTCACTCAAGGAGTTGTTCCCTGGGGAAAACTCCCTATCAGACATAATTAGATTTAATGATGGGGCAATCCTCAAATTGAAGCTATATATATCCATTATGTGACTGAAATTACCAAAGCTTGCCTATTATCTTAATAACACACGAGATAATAAATGGGCCACTCCAAACCTGAGCATTATCCCTGATATTAACTGCCACCAAGGGCTCTGGATGAAGTAATAAACTGCAGGGATCTTATTGTTAACTTTGGCAGTCCTCTACATCACAGATTTTACACAGACAAGTGAGATGAAGAGGAGAAAAAAATCCTCTTTTTTATTTCTGCAGGGCACAAGTGGGTATTTCCCCAAGCTGGTATTTCTTTATACAAAAATCTGATTCTAATCAAGTGGGTACTTCCCCAAGCTGGTATTTCTTTATATAAAAATTTATTGATTAAAAAAAAATCTGATTCTGATGCTTTTCCTGACTAGGACACACATTCCTGCTTCCTCTGCTGCTGAGGGTTTTCACTCTCAGGCAGATGGAGCTGAGGACAGGTGACATCACCACCCCACATTGCTCATTAAACTTCTCTCTCTCCCCAAAAGCAAAATAAACTCACTGTGCCTAATTAATGACTGCCCTTCTCCTGCAGCAGCAAGCAGGGAAAAACACTGATCCTATTCTTTGGGAACACAGATTCCAGGGATTAACACAAGCCCTGTTGTTCCCAGTGACCCAGGGACTGCCTGAGGAGCAGCTCCTCTGAACCTGCTCTGCCAGGGAGAACAGCCCAGCAAGGAGCTGATGAGTCAGGAGGCTCCCAACTGCTCCCTGCCTTTGTATGGAATGGCTCTTCCCAGAGGAAAAAAAATCCAATCTATTAAAAGCTACCTCAAATTAACACTCTCTTGAAATTTCCCTCTCTCCCTCGCTGGTATTTGGAATAAATGTGGCCAAGCTGTGCCTCAACAACACAGAAAAAAAAACATGGAAATTCATCCTCCAGCACACAAAGAGCTGGGGGAGAGGGGAGGAAACTGCAGTTACACCTCATAATGAAATCCTCCACGTCCTTTAGTGTTGCAAACAATCAATAAGCTATCAGACATGAGAGGAGATTGAATTCAGAATATTTATTATACAGCCACTCCACAGGGTGCGAAGCACAACAGCAAACAAGTGAGAATTCAAGGTTAATGAGCACCAGGGAGGTGTTGGGAGAGCCTCACTCAGGAAACACAAAAATCAAAGGGACAAAAAGAAGTGAGCTGCATCCAGGGCAGTTCTGAGTGCTCACAAATTCCCACACTTGGCAATAATTCCTGGGCTTTGGAAGAGCTCTTCCTTACCTCTCTCAAATGCATTTTTGATGTCGTTCACTTCAACCTGGGACCCAGACACTCTGAATATTCCTTCGTGCTGCAAACCTGCAGGAAAACAAGAGATGCTGATGACAAGATAAGATGGATTAGATAAAAGAAGACAGCACCTTCAGCAGCTACAGCTCCTGTAAGAAAGGAGAAATAAGAACAAAGGCAGAGGATGCTGGATATTAAAAACCTTTCTCTGAGATGTCCAGAATATGAAAAAACAGAACTCAGCACAGACAGAAAATTTATTAACCCTTCTAAACTGCTGGAGTAACAGGGCTCTGACAGCCATTCATGTCATCTCTCACCCTGGAGGATCCCCAGAGGATTTTACAACCCAGAGGAAGTCATAAACCAGCAGTGGAGCAGCAGGAGTAAAATATGACCAATGCCAGGAGGAAAATGTTTAAAACATTTAAAAAGGACTCAGTTGAGTCTGTTGGAAAATCAAAGCCAGCTCTGGAATCTGAGTAAAATCAGCATCTCCTGATGCTGAAATCAGCATCATCCTGAAGGATTTATCCCCCATCAGTTCCCATTTCAATGTGGTCTCAAGGATTTTTCCAGCAAATATCCAAATACGGCCTTAAAGAAAGATTCTAGATTGATTCTAGAACTTTAACTTGCTTATTCCAAGTGCTGATGAGAATGGGACTCCAGATTATGGTTTCTAAAATAGTAATGGAACAAGGGAAACAAGCAGGACCTGCATCTTGGCTAATGAAGATGGATTCCACCTCTTCCACACGTGTTAATTAACAGCTGCTTCACACGCTACTAACAAATGATATCAATTAAAAATGAAAACAAATTGCAATAAATGTACAGCATTCAAGGCTGGGAGAGGTCAACCTTCCAAACAGGAATAAATCATCTCTCTGTGGCAGTAAATGAACAATTAATTCACTGCTTGACCTCCTACATTCAAACACTCGGAGTGCTCCTCCTCCTCCTCCTCCTCATGAAGAGGATGATTGTTGCTGCTGAAGGCCACATTTCAGGGCTCAAAGGAAGGTGAGTGCAGGGGAGGGATGGGCAGCTGATTTTGCAAGGAATAAAGGGATATTGTTGGCAAAACAACATTTGCAAGGTCAGTTATTTGGAGCAGTCATTGCACACACAACACCAGCAGTGCAGGCAAAAAATCAGAGCCATTTTCCTCCTGTGGCAGCTTCTGCACAAGCACCTGAGCCACTCTGAACATCCCTCATAAGGTTTATTTTATAGGTTTAACCTATAAAATATAGGTTATTTTATTTTATTTTATCTTGTCCTATCTTATTTTATAATAAAATCTTTATTACATTTTATAATAAAATATTTATAATAATGTAATAATGTATTACTATTTTATAATAAGATATATAAAGATTATTTTATAATTTTATTTTATTTTTATATTTTATTTTATTTTATTTTATCAGAATGTCCCACAAACTCACCGTGCCTGCTGATGAATCGGATGCAGCTCTCCACCACCAGGGGAATGGCTTGGGAAGAATCCTGCCCAGAGAGGAATTCCAGCAAGAGCAGACAGAATGTAGAGTGAAGAGGGGAAAAAAAAAAAAAAAAAAAATCTGCACACCAAGATCACACCTTGCTCTCTTTATTCCAAAATTCCAAAGCAGCAGCCCAAGACTGTGTGAGCTGGAATTCCCAAACTTTATCCTTAAAGTATCAACAAGAGATTTTTTGGGTCCTCCCCATCTCAAAAAACACCATTTTAGCTCACTTGGGTACCAAAAAGCAGCAGATCATCCCCAAGGCCAGGGACACAAAGCCTGGCTTTTGTAAGTCTTTATTCCAGGAAGGCACCACAAGAGAGCAGCTCCAGGTTTAACAGAGATTCCAGGGAAAATGAAGGGATGGAGACAAAGAAACAACAGCGTGGATCACATAAACCAGGAGTGTCCCAGCAGCTCCAGGCAGCCTGGGATTTCTGATTCCAGGGCTGTCCAAACACAGAGTAATTTGAAATTTTGTCATGGAAAATGAATGAGGTTTTGGATTTCTGATTCCAGCTCTGTCCAAACACAGAGTAATTTGAAATTCTGTCATGGAAAATGAACCAAGTTTTTGATTTTTGGTTCCAGGTCTCTCAAAACATAGAATAAAAGCAATTTTAAATTTTGCCATGGAAAATGAAAGAGGTTTTGGATTTCTGATTCCAGGTCTCTCAGAACACAGAGTAAAGGCAATTTTACATTTTGTCACGGAAAATGAATGAGGTTCTGGATCCAGGTTTGAGGGATTTCTTCAACAAGACTGAAAAGGTCCATGGAAGACAGGGAGGGACAGATAAAAATTTGTTTTCCAGCACTCCTCCTCTTTCCCCACCCCATCCCTGCCTCATTACTGAAATGTTAATTACTAATTACCTGCTTCCTCACGGTGGAGCTGCGCCTGCCACTGGTCCAGGGGTGCAGGAGGGAAAAACAGAAGAGAAAATCAGGATAATCCTCCCCCATCACCAGCTCATCCCTCCAGTGCTCCCAGGCTCGTGCTGGAGCAGGGAAGGAGCAGAAATCCCAGTCAGTCACAATTCCAGAGCCTCACTCCAGTTATGGAACCCCAGAAAAATTATAAGTGACTTTAAATCGCTCAAAACCTGCACGAGGCAGCCCTGACAAAAAATCACCCCTGACATCTTAATTCTGAGCAGACAGAATGCTGGGATCCAGGGCTGCTTGCTGCAGATGGAGTTTGATATAAATTGCACAGGGAAGAGCAGGTGGGTCCCCCCGTGCCACTGTGGAGCCTTTATGATGGTTTTGATAAGATTTCAAATAAATAAATAACATAAAACCCCCCTGGAACAGCAGCACACACCAGCCAGGCTAAGCATTGTCTGTCTGCTCTCATTTGCTGATATTGATAGACATTAATGGCAGAAAAATAGGAAAAAAGCCTTGCTCTGCCAGGGTTTTCCCCTCAAAATTTATTACTGGGGTTTAAAATTCCTTTAGTTTCTTGTAGAAATGAAAGCAAGGGAGATGATAGCAGAGAGGCCCTAATGTATCATTCCAGCCAATTCCCTGCCAGGGCAGATGGCTGCTGAATTATAAATGAGGGGATTAGAAGTGTGATTTTTTAAAAGCCTGTACAACGTGTTAATTTGGAGGAAATTCCTTTTGTAAAACAATCAAAAACACAGAATGAAAATAAAAAACAATTTAAAAAATCCAATTCCACGGGCTGTCACAGACAATGAGGTGGGTTTTAAACTGTTAGCCAGCACGATTCTTTGATATTTAAAATTGTTTCATGATGAATAATATTTTATTATTACAGATGTCAGGGTCTAATTAGGACCTGTCAGTTTTGCTTTGCAGTGAGGAATGGGAACAGCAGTAATGAGCCACGCTGGTGGTAATCACCTTGCTTTTCTTAACGAGGCAGGATGATGCACAGCCCCAGAGCCCCCTGAATCCCCCAGTTTGGAGATGGAGTTTGTGTTTTACTAAAGCCCCACCAGAAGCTTAGGGCTGGTTCTAGGATTGGCTCTAATTAAATTAAAATGGTTTTTTTTTCCCCCGTGCCCTCTGTCCTGCTGGAATCCAGGCACAGCAGAGCAGCACTGGGATCAACTGCATTCCCATAAATTGGGAAATCTGGGCTCCCAAATTTCCCAATTTATGGTCCTCAAGCCTGTGGATAAGCCCTGCACAGCCCCTGGGCCCACCTCTCTCCCCCTAATTAAATTAAAATGTTTTTTTTTTTTTTTTTCCCCCGTGCCCTCTGTCCTGCTGGAATCCAGGCACAGCAGAGCAGCACTGGGATCAACTGCATTCCCATAAATTGGGAAATCTGGGCTCCCAAATTTCCCAATTTATGGTCCTCAAGCCTGTGGATAAGCCCTGCACAGCCCCTGGGCCCACCTCTCTCCCAGGACCAGGGATTTGCTTGTAAAAACCTAAATCTGGAGAATGTTCTCCAGGTGACAGCACCAAATTAAGGAATTTCTCTTACTTCTCCATCCTGCTCTAGATCTGCTCTAAAGACACCAGGGCAAGAAAAGGAATTTGTTTGTATTAATTTTATATATATATAAGCAATAGATATAAAATATTGATTATTATATATATGATATACTATATCTAGTAGATATAATTATATATTATAATATATTATTATAATTTTATTTGGGTATATATACATATAAATAAAATTATTACTATTTACATACTGTATTTATTATAATTAAACTTATTACAAATTTAGTTGAAACAAATTATATATAATGTATATAATATATATAATATAGATAAAAATAGAAATTTAATCTATAATAAATGACTACATTTAATTAAATTTATTAAATTCCTGCCCCATCTCTGGAAGAGTTCCAGGCCAGGCTGGATGGGATTTGGAGCATCTGACACAGTGAAAGGTGGCACTGGATGAGCTTTAATGTCCCTTCCCACCCAAACCACTCCATGATTCCATTCTGTGGCTCTAAATCAGTGTATTTTCTAACAGACACATATCCTGGGCTGGGAACTGATCTGGAATGACCAATTTGCATCAGATTTTCCCTAAAAACCACAATTCCCTGAGCCACACCTACCTGGCCAGGGCACAGTCCGTCCGCTGACCTGTGGAGGAGACAAAGAAATGCAGAGTGAGGAGGGAGGGATGGGAAAATGCTTTCAGCCTTTCTGTACACAGAATTTTGGAAGGAGATGGAGGAAAGCAGAGGAGAGAGGAGGGGAAGCTCCAAGGACAGCACCAAACCCATCCCTGCCAGCTCAGCTCCACCAAATCCAACCAGGAGCCAGCTCAGGCTGTCCAAGCACTCCTATCCCTGGGAATTCTTGTTTTTAAACAGAAATTACCTCCCTGAGCATTCTAATTGTTGACTTCTGCCAAAAAACTGGGCTTGTCAGTCCCTCCCTCCCTCCCTCTTCCCAGGGGAACTGGTGGGGCAGGAGATTCTACTTCCCACAGCCCCTCAGGAGGAGTGCAAACATTCCCAGATCTGTCAGCCTGAACGTGCTGGCACCAGAGCTATTTTGGGAGACAGACGTTCAGTGGTGTTTTTTATAAACACATTTATAAAAAACACTCCATTAACTTGTGCTGAGTTTTCGAGGAAGCAGCAGCCAAGCTCAGGACTTGCTAATTCAGCATCACCTAAAACATCACGACAGAAGAGAAAGGAGGATGCGCTGTGGGAGTGGGACAGGCCCATTATTTTTGGTGAAAAAATCAGTGAAACCACACAGATTCAGTGCTTTTCACACTGATTCCCACCAGCTGAAAATCCACCTTCCCTCCTGTTGTCTTCCTGCTCCTGGGGAGATGGAAGGAGGAGTGAGGGAAGCAGCTAATTGCTGATGGCTGACAATTAGTCGAGCACATCTTGATAGCCACTTTTGCTCTCCCCACGTCAAGCCAAAACAGTGCATAATTTACATGAAAATGTTATTCTGCAGCAGAATTTCCAGCCATCTGTCCCCTTTTCATCATGGAATATTCATACAGAGAAATTACACGGCTGTGGCAGCATCAAGGGGCTCCTGCATTAGGGTGACAAATGGGGACAGGAGGCAGGGACATAATTACTTGCAGAGAGGAGGACTTGCTGCTACTTTTATTGCTGGAACTTGTCATCTTCAGATTAAGGCAATTTGCACCACGACTGAAAAATGTCACCTGAGGATGGGGCAGGGAGGAGAATAAAAAATAACAACCCCTGAAGCTCCCAGGCACTGAAGACACACAGCTGGAGGCACATTTTCCTGCAAAGCTCCTAACCACGCTCTGGGGACATGTGGAGGGAATTTTATTTGCCCATTTCCCAATTAAGTGACATTTTATGGATAAATCTAGGCATGGTCCCCAGTTTGTAGCATCAACCTGCTCCTGTGGGTTGGGAAATGGGATGTTCCTCCCTCTCCCAGCTCCTTCTGATCTCACAGATGACAGGAGGAGTTTTTTTGGGTCTCACCCTGACACTCACTGCCTCCCTTCACAGAGCCACTACAAAAGCTCTGGTTTGCAAAAAGCAAACGAAGAAAACAGAAGCAGCCTTTAAATCCCCACAGCAGTACAGAAATCACATTTAATTTCCTCTCCTCTCCCCCCTAGCACAGCTTCAGCTGGGGTCAGGGGCAGGCAGGTTAAGAGGAAACAGGGCTGGAATGCAGAGGTCAGCCAGGACCCAGGAATGTCACCAGTCAGGGGCAGCACTCTGCCACTCACACATCTTCAGAGGCACAAGAAAAATGCCCTGAGGACACAAAACTTTGCCTTCAGCCACCCTTTCTTACAGGACAGCTGAAACTTTGCCTTCAGCCACCTTTCTTACAGGAGAGCTGAACTTTAACCAACCCAACCAAACTGAGGCACATCTTCCCTTCATCTCTAATAAACACAAAACTCTGAATTACTGCAGCAAGAAGAATTTCAGTTTTTCAGTGCATTCTCAAACTGGAAACAAAGCACTTCAAAGCCCACATGCTGGTTGGGTTTTCATGCAGCAGATTTGCACACCAGGAGCTGTGGGGAGCTCAGCTCAGCCACAGAGCTCCAGACTGAGCCAGGACTGAGCTGAGCCACTCTTTGACCTGACATTTCCACTGCTCAAACCTTCTCCTCTGCAAATACAAGGCAGGTTTCTATGGAAACTTGGATGCATAGTTGAAGTGTTTCTGGCCAACAGGATTTGCCCATACCATGAAGGGAAAGAAATCTGCCTTTGTTCTGACTCTAACAGCAAATGAATATTCAGTTCTGGCTGCTGCCCCCTGACTGATGCCCTCTAGACAGGCAACATATTTCACATGCTCTGAAATTTGTTTGTGCTTCTCCTAACAAAAGCCTGGGCTCAACACTGGGTTGAACCCACAGAGGTGAGGAGCAGCTGAACTGCCACAGAAATGAAGGCTAAAAATTCTGAATTATGAGTAAATCAGCAGGTTTGACCCAAAAGAGATCATGAAGAGCTCACCAGGATGGGTGTGAAGGAGGGGAACACAAACGAAGGCTAAAAATTCTGAATTATGGGTAAATCAGCAGGTTTGACCCAAAAGAGATCATGAAGAGCTCACCAGGATGGGTGTGAAGGAGGGGAACACAAACGAAAGCTAAAAATTCTGAATTATGAGTAAATCAGCAGGTTTGGCCCCAGAAAGATCATGAAGAGCTCACCAGGATGGGTGTGAAGGAGGGAACACAAACGAAGGCTAAAAATTCTGAATTATGAGTAAATCAGCAGGTTTGGCCCCAGAAAGATCATGAAGAGCTCACCAGGATGGGTGTGAAGGAGGGGAACACAAACGAAGGCTAAAAATTCTGAATTATGAGTAAATCAGCAGGTTTGGCCCCAGAAAGATCATGAAGAGCTCACCAGGATGGGTGTGAAGGAGGGGGCAGCACACAAATGCACATTAGTGCCTCACTCAGCGCTTTGGTGTTCACCATCCATCCCCCTCATGCAGATCAGAGGAATCAATTAATAAAACACCAGCAAGGCCACTGCATCACCAGTCCAGGGCTGCCCCCTCATCTGGGGAACTCCACAATGCCCAGCCTGGCTGGGAGCAGTGCTGGGCACACACTCACTTTCTCCCAGGGTCTTCTGCAGGAGGTCGTGCTTGGCCTGGAGCTTCGTGATCAGGTTCCTGCCCTCCAGGTACTCCTTCATTTTCTGTGGAGAAAACAGCACGGTGAGGGGACAATTCACCTCTCTGATCAAGTCTTGGGGGTGCTGGGTTGTCAACATGAGGGCAGTGACACTGAATTTACAGAGTGACACTGAATTTACAGTTATAGAATGACACTGAATTCAGTGTCATTCTATAACTGTAAATTCAGTGTCACTCTGTAAATTCAGTGTCACTCTGTAAATTCAGTGTCACTCTGTAAATTCAGTGTCACTCTGTAAATTCAGTGTCACTCTGTAAATTCAGTGTCACTCTGTAAATTCAGTGTCACTCTGTAAATTCAGTGTCACTCTGTAAATTCAGTGTCACTCTGTAAATTCAGTGTCACTCTGTAAATTCAGTGTCACACTGAATTCAGTGTGACACTGAATTTACAGTTATTGAATGACACTGAATTTAGTGTGATAATTTACAGTTAGAGAATGACACTGAATTTAGTGTGACAATTTACAGTTAGAGAATGACACTGAATTTAGTGTGACACTGAATTTACAGTTACAGAGTGACAATGAATTTTGAGGGACACTGAATTTACAGTTATAGAATGACACTGAATTTAGTGTGACAATTTACAGTTATTGAATGACACTGAATTTAGTGTGACACTGAATTTACAGTTAGAGGGACACTGAACTTGCAGAGTTACACTGAATTTACAGTTACAGAGTGACAATGAATTTAGTTAGAGGGACACTGAATTTACAGAGTGACACTGAATTTATAGTTAGAGGGAATCTGAATTTACAGCTATAGAATGACACTGAATTTAGTGTGACACTGAATTTACAGTTATTGAATGACACTGAATTTAGTGTGACAATTTACAGTTAGAGAATGACATTGAATTTAGTGTGACACTGAATTTACAGTTATTGAATGACACTGAATTTAGACTGACACTGAATCTAAAGTTAGAGAATGATACTGAATTTACAGAGTGACACTGAATTTACAGTTAGAGTGACACTGATTTTGCAGTTATAGAATGACACTGAATTTACAGTTAGAGGGACACTGAATTTACAGAGTGACACTATTTACAGTGACAAAATAACTCTGAAATTCATGGTAAAAGCATGAACTAAGTCCTGGCTTAAGCATCTGGGCAAGCCTAAAGCTCAGGCCACTCATATTTTGAGCCCAGCCAAGCTTGGATCAATGCTCTCAGAGGCCTTTTCCAACCTTAACAATTCCGAAATTCTGTTTATTCTCCATCTGCAGGGCAATTTCCATTGTCCCACTGTGGGATCAGCTGAATGTTTGGCATCTCTGGAGCCATCAGAGGAGCTGTCACCATCCCTGGGCAGGCAGGGTGGGATGCACTGAATGAGCAATCTGTTTAACCAACTAAAAGGCTGCTACTGTGCTTATTCTCTCACTTAACCTCTCTCACCCCACTTTACTTGTCAAACCCTGCGTGCTGGATGATCCACAGGGCTGCACAGGACAAAACAAATAAAGATATTATTGAAGTTCAGATGGACTCTGGCAGTGGAATATTGTACAGCCACGCAGGCGTTTTTCCCACTGCTCCCTGATTTTCTACAGCTTTGCAAATGCTGATTTATATATATATATATATATTTTTTTTTTTTTTTATTCTTTCATGTCTTATCTTGCAGCTCAGAGCAGTGTTATTTATCTTCACTGAGCTGCAGCATGTGAAATACTCAGTGTACAGGGGCTGTCCACGTTATAAATGGGACATGTTTGCATTCAAACCACAAACTCTGCAAATATCACAGAGCACTCTCTGGAATCCTGAGAGATCTTAAAAATTCAGGCAGAAGGATGAGCACAGAGAGGATCCTTATCTAATAACGAAATCTTCTTGTTATAATCAAATCCTCAAATGGTTTTAGGTGGGCAGGGACCTCAAAGCTCATCCAGTCCCATGGGCAGGGACATTTTTCAGCACCCCAGGTGCTCCAAGCCCTGTCCAGCCTTCCTCAGTTTAATCCACTTCCCTTCAGGTCTGATCTGCACAATAAGACTGCAAATCCTTGAGGAAAAAATGGATATTTTTAACAACAGGAGAGCCTGGACCCTGCTTGGCCTTTGCAGGAGCAGCTTTTGTGCAGGGTGGAAAGAGTCAAGTAGAAATATGTACATAAATAAAGAAATATCTATATATAAAACATATACTATAGATATTTTAAATATTTTATATATTAATATATAACCTCTAATATTTAATACACATTAAATAGTTGAAATATTTATATAAAATATATAATCTACATTAGTAATAATATATAAAGATTATATATAAATATATAAAATTTCTATTATATTTACATATATTACATATGTACAGTACATATAGTATATATATAGTATATGTATTATATATACAATATAATATATATAAAATCTATATTAATATATATTAATATAATATATTAATAATATCTATAAAGAAATATACACACTGAGGCAGTAGTGAGGGTGAGGGAAAACCTTCCAGGAACTAAGGAAGCTTCCCCCGAGGGCTCCCCAGCCCTGGTGTGCACTGACACAACAAACAAAAATGGCTTTAATTAACTGCCAAAAGCCTGTGTTTCATGTCCCCTCGCTTGACAACACTGAAAGAAACATTTCACAAGAATTAAGTCCCTTTGGAAAGTCTCAGCATTTCCTGCTTCCTTTATTAATATTTCAGTTTTTTTTGTTGTTTTGGAAGAAAACAGGAAGCGCCCTCGAAAAATGAATTACATGTTTTTTTGGGGAATTTCCCTGTAGAGTTTGTTTGCCAAGCCCTAACTATATTTTGCTCAATCAGTGAAATTTTTGGAGAAAAAAACATGATGAAAATAAAAATAATAAAATAAAACCATAAATAAATAATATAACTATGCTAATATAATATAAACTATATAAACTAGAATAACATAAACTAAATAATAATGAAAATGATAATGATAATAATAATAACAACAACTGCAAAAGTAACCAGTCTGAAGGGGGGCAGTTGAGGATAAATCTGGTTCTGGGGGGCCTCAGAGTCACAGGTGAAAGGACAGGAGGGTTGGAAGGCTCAGCTGCAAACAGAAGCTTAAAGACCAGCAGATCAACTCCTCTTGGCAGAGTTAAGCTCCCCTTTGAAGCAGATCTAAACACTTAAGCCCAGCCTAAGGTGGGTCAGGCAGGGCAGGGCACAGGCACTCGCTGGGACTTGCAAGGCTCCAGCTTTGAGGGCATTAAAAACATCAACAGGTACCAGGGCTTGCTTTAAAGGAGAAAAAATGTTCCCATCCACTGCAGAATTTAATTTTTTTTAGTGTTTCCTCATGCCTAACATTCTGTTCCCTGCTTGTAGCAAGGATGCTGATGAAAAAAAAAAAATTAATTACAAAATAAAGCTTCAGGCTTTTCTCAGTGAATTACAAAGATCCATTAACCCTGGATTTTCGGTGTAATAAAAACAGACAAAGGAAAATAAAATCATCAAACTACAGGAGAACTCCCGAGGATTTCATTTGGGGCAGAGCACAGCTGGAGCTGGGCTGAGTGCAGCCAGAACAACGCAGCAGAAAGGTCTCTGGGTGCCCTCCTTTGTGCACAGGACAATTCAGAGGTGAAGATCAGCTGGGAGGCAGAGCCAGGAGCATTCTGCACCTCCAAATCCTGCAGGATTCCCAGGCAGAACCCAACCAGACCCTGCCTTCCTCCCTGTCTGGGACACAGAAAAACCATTTCTGCCCCTGCTCCACATCCTGATCCATCTCCTGTCAGGAAAACTGTGATTTTCCTCCATCACCTCTCCAAGAATAATTCCAAACCAAGCACTCGACTGAAGGATGGGGGGACTGGATCCATCTCCCAGGATCAGCACCCAGCTGCAGGGCTCAGGGACAGCAGGATTTTATCCCCCATTTCCCCATCTCTTTATAGAGCAGCAGGATTTTATCCCCCATTTCTCCATCTCTTGTTAGAGCAGCAGGATTTTATCCTCCATTTCTTGTTAGAGCAGCAGGATTCTATCCCCCATTTCCCCACCTCTTCCTATTGCAGCAGGATTTTATCCCCCATTTTCCCACCTCTTTTTAGAGCAGCAGGATTTTATCCCCCATTTCCCCTTCTCTTGTTAGAGCAGCAGGATTTTATCCCCCATTTCCCCTTCTCTTGTTAGAGCAGCAGGATTTTATCCCCCATTTCCCCATCTCTTTATAGAGCAGCAGGATTTTATCCCCCATTTCTCCATCTCTTGTTAGAGCAGCAGGATTTTATCCTCCATTTCTTGTTAGAGCAGCAGGATTCTATCCCCCATTTCCCCATCTCTTGTTAGAGCAGCAGGATTTTATCCCCCATTTCTTGTTAGAGCAGCAGGATTTTATCCCCCATTTCCCCATCTCTTCCTAGTGCAGCAGGATTTTTTCCCCCATTTCCCCATGTCTCAAGGCAAAAACAAACCCCCATTAATCCTAAAGAACTTCACCCAACCAGCACTGCTCTGCTTCCTCCTCTTCCCAGGGATAAAACCCCAACATTTTGCCCAAGAACTCAAATTACGCAGGTTTAGAGGTGGAAGAACGGAACCATTCCCCCCTTTCCCAGTGCCCAGGTGGGGCTGGTGCCAGCTGTGCCCTGCTGGGCAGCTGTGCCAGGGTCCCTGGCTGGGGAAGCAGGGCTGTAACCATGGCAGCAGCAGCACATCCCTGCATTTTGGCTGGATTTTGGCTCCCTGAAGTGACTGCTGCTCCCCTGCCTCAGCCACCTGCAGCAGCTCAGGGCTGGGGCCATCCTCCCCTGCACACTGGGAAGTTGGAATTAGCCTGAATACCAATTAAATTACCCTGAATTCACATCTCCCTTCAAGGCCAAACAAGGGAACCATCAGCACTGGGATGTGCTTCCAGTGGAAACACAGATTATTCCAGTCTGGAGACACTCCAGTGTGGCAGGCATATTTTTTTGGAAAAATCCTTTTGCTCAGGATTCTTCTCCTGGGAAGCTGAGAAGCCTCAGAGAAAAAGGAAAACAATATTATCTCATTTGCTCCTTCTGTGTTTTGCTCCTTTGGAACGTGGTTGGAGATTGTTTATCCAACAGGTGATTGTTTCATTGGTTTCATGTGAATTATTCTGACTTATTGGCCAATCACTGTCAGGCTGTGTTGGGACTCTGGAAGGAGTCACAAGTATTCATTATTATCTTTTAGCCTTCTGTCTGTATCCTTTCTGTATTCTTTAGTATAATATAATATAATATAATATAATATAATATAATATAATATAATATAATATAATATAATATAATATAATATAATATAATATAATAGCCTTTTAAAAACATAAAGTCAAATTCATTATTTCTTCCTTCATCTAAAAACCCCACAAATACAACACTCCAGTGAGTATCCTTCCTCTAAATTCCCATCACTGTATTTACCCAAGAGCTCTGCCTGGGAATGCAGCACATGGAATTTCTTCCTTGAGTCACATTAATATGGAATATTCTTTTAAATCAGCATTTTTGTTAAAGTTCCTATCCCCCAGCACTCAGCACATCACGAGGTAAAAGGGAATTAAATCTCAATTCTGCACTGCACTTTGTTTTTTATCCCCTACACAAAGCTCTGCCCTCAAGCCTCATTAATACCCATCAGAGGGTTTTATGAGACACTGGAAAAGTTCCTCCTCAGAGATTCAGAGCTGGAAATCCTTATCAAGGCTATTTATAAGCCTGGTCAATAGCAGATCAATCCAGCATCTGATCAGGCTGCTTAAAGAGGGTCTCTCTCTAACACCACATCCAAAGGGAGCCTGGATTCCTCCTCCTCCTGTTTGAACTCAAAACAGCTCTCTCTAGAGAGGAAATGCTCAGAGTTCAATTAAAAATCGCTTTTCTAGTTCCATAACCCTGGGCAGGGTGGTCAATCCTGCCTTAATTGAAGCAGCTTCTCCACTCACTTCTCTCAGATTCACCTTTAGTGGAGGATTTTGGATTTTTCTAAGTCAAGGCCTAATGATCCATCCTGCCAAGTTAGTGCCCTTTGCACTGAAAATTCAGATTTTTAACAAGCAGCATCATTCTGGGAAGAAGGTGAAGGATGCCCAAAGGAATGACAAATTAACCAGGGTAAGATCCATGATTTTCATCTGCTACTCTGAAATCTTTTGAAACTGGAAACAAATTCAATGGTTTAACATAAATCTGATGTAGGAAAAAGACACACAGTCTGGCATGAAATTCAATAGCAAAAAGCTCTTAGCATCTTGTAAAAAACACTGACTCAATGAAAAGCTTATGCAGGCTGAAATTGTAAGATGATAACAAAAAATGAAAGAGCTAAACATGCTTTCAGTTTGCACTAGTTTTGAAATTTCATGTTTACAAGCTATTAAGTTCTTTCTCTGAAAACTCCTTTTCAGATGCAGAAGAAATCAAATTTGACATGATTTACCCACAGACTATGTTTGAATCAACAGAGATATCCCAAAATATTCCCAGAGAATTGACAGCACACATTTCTAAACCCAACATGATTCCTCTGCTTGCCCAAAATCGGTGAGAGAAGCATTTTTTGTAGGACAGAAGCATCACTTTGCACTCTGTTGTGAGGATAATTCTGAGTAGATCTCACTGAAAATTACAGAATCATGGAATGGGCTGGGTTGGGGAGGATCCTGAAGATCATCCAGGGGATGGGCAGGGACACTTTCACTACCCCAGGCTGCTCCAAGCCTCTCCTGGCCTTGGACACTTCCAGGGATGGGACAGCCACAGCTGCACCAGGGCCTCACCACCCTCACAGGGGAGAATTTCCCAAAAGAGAAAAAAAAAACCTCTTAAATCCCTAGGAATCAGCCCCTTACAGTGAAGTAGAACTGCTCAGTCTCCTGCTGGTTTGCCCTTCTCTTGGCAATGCTGGGTTTGCTCATGAACGTCTCTGACACCGTGGATTTCACAGATTCCATGGAGTTGCTGTACTGGAAGCAGTCAGAGACATCGAAGTCCTCGATGGTGACAATGTCCTGGATTGTCTGCAGCGTGGCCTCCATCGTCTTCTTCACCTGCCCAGCAAGAAGCAGAGAACTCAAAACCTCCAGGTTTTCTGTTGTGAGTAAACAACAGAGGCAGGGGAGTCCCCTGGAGCACTTTGCTAATAAACAGATATTACTGGTTTCACACCCTGGGTGCTGTAATTAATTCTGGCTCATTAGCAGCACAGTCCATGCAAGCACAGAGCTGGCAGCACCCTGAGCCTGCCAGGACTCCGTGCCAGGATCTCAGTTGTGATCTCAGGGAGATGGAAAGAAATTTAACCTCAAAGCAAAGAAAGCTGGAACCAAGATTCTCTAATTGTCTTCTGCAACTGCATCTACTGGGCATCAAATGTTAATTACAAACAGGACTCTGCTGCACTGTGCATTTTTACTGAAGACCAGAATCAACTTTCTAGACATAAAAGGGGTTGCAAATTTTGCCCCAAAGTTCCTGAACACAGAGGTGCAGAGATCAGATCCCCATTCCTGTCATCTTCTCATCCTGGATAGCCAATTAAACAAAAATCACTTTAACTCAGGTTATGCAAACTCACTTCAAAACATTAAATTCCTCCTTTTACCTTTGCTATCCAAATTCAACTTTGGCAACACAGCCAGTCTTATCAAGGTAAGGATGGGAAGAGAGATATGGGGGGTATTTTAAAGGATTCTCTCCACACACCCAACTCTCCTGTGAGATCACACCATAATTAATGCACAAGATGCTTTGGCCTTGAATTTTACCACAAATGTTCAAACAAAAGGACCACAACAACCAGATTCTTCCATAATCAGTGCTCAATAACCACTGGAAGTGGCTGAGAGGGGTTGCTGAGCTTTGGTTATTAACTGACCTCTTCATTTTCAATCTTCAGCGTGGACAAGCGGGACTGCAGCTGCTGACACCTCTGCACCAGCTCACTCTGGACTGGCTGCTGGGCACAGAGCTGAGACTCCTGCAGGAGAAACAGCACAGCAGAGCACTGCAATTACTCCTTTATTTGTCAGACACAAACATTCTCTGAAGTGCTGAACTTTAAAACCAAACCCAGTTTTAAAATCCAGGTTGAAACCTGGATTTCAAGCAGAGGAGAAGGTTCTGCCAAACTGCAGCTCCCTGCCTGAGAGGAATGACAGCAAGCAGATGATGGCAACATCAAAGAGGAGCTAGAAAACATCAGCTGCTTTCAGTGATGTCAGCTCAAAGTGTGCTTTGGAAGTCTGGAGGTGCTTTATCCCACCTATTTGGATAAATCACATCAAAATCAAGAATTTGGTTCAGTGCTTCAGCCAGGCATCCTGGGGTAGGGGCACAAGGGGCTGGGATGGCTCAGCTGAACCCCCTGCACAGCACAGCAACAGGCACAGGTCACTCTTGAATGAATCCAGGGCAGCTGAAATCAAAAAGCTCAGGCTGGGGACCTGTCCCAGGCACCAGAACACCGAGGTTCCCTGAGCTGCTCAGAAAGACTCTCATTCCACAGCATGAGGCAGCTTTTCCCTTTCATTTTGTTCTGGGTTTTGTGTGGGTTTTCTACATAAAACACTGACCTCACTGCCTGAGGCTGTTTCTTCAGAGACAGCATTGAAAATGGGAGTTTTATCCCACCCATGCACACACAGGATGACATATTCTGATTTAATCTGCTGTGTGCAGCACCATTGCAACAAGACCATCAGCTGCATTCCTAAACACTCCTCCAGCTCTGAGAAGCAGCAAGATAAATGATTCAGTGAATGGGAGCTGCTCCTGAATGAGACTCTGCAGGTAATTCCTTTTCTTCCCACGATTTTACAGCATCAGAAGCACAGAAAAATCCAGGGAAGGTCATTTGCAGTCTGAAGTTTTCACTTAAAAGGAGAGAGACAAAGAAAAGCCTGGAGCAGGGGCTGTAATTCCCAGCCCACGAGAAGAGGCTGCCTGCAAGAGACCATCCTGCAGTCTGGAAATGCAACCAAGTGACCTAAATTGTCACACTGTGCATGTGCTCCCATCCAGAAGCAGTTTCAGCTTGTGTGACTTTCAACAGCTCCCAGCTGAGCAACCACATCTTGATAAACCCATAAAAGAGAGGGGGTTTGCCCTGCCAAAAATGAGGAGTACTCTGACAGCCCTGGCTCACAAACAGGATGCAAAAAGCAGCATTTGTGCTCTCAGGATGCACACTCAGATGCTGCAAAAAAATAGCATTTAGGTTTCTTATATTGGCCCCTCCAATTTCAAAATTCAGAGATTGTCTTGGGGATTAACCTCTATGTTCAAGCAAACCTAGTACGTTTCCTACTCACATTTAATGTCTAACTTAATTAAGCATTTTCACCTCCAGTGAAGGGCCAAGGATCAGGATCAGCTCAGATTTAACAGCAGCACCTGCTCCTTTTCACAGAATCTTTGGGGTTGCAAGGGACCTCTGGAGACCATCCAGCTTTGACAGCCAAAAAAGTAAAATTTAGACACCTCTGCCATGAACCTCTGCTTAATCTTTACATCATCTCCCACCTCTCAGACTCCCAAAAGAGCCAAACAGGCACCCTGGAGGGGATCAAATAACCAAAAACGAGGCTGATGAACAGGCAGAGCTGCAGGAGGGACCCACACTGACCATGTCCCCCATGTGTGGCTGGAACTCGAACTTCATGGGAGGGCAGAAGACGTTGTTGTACATCTCCATCAGCCTCTGCTTGTCACTGTTGGCATCCAGGTTCTCCACAGCATTCTCAATGGCATCCAGCCCCTCGTGCTTGGACTGCTCCAGGTTCAGCTCGGCCGACAGGAACGTCCTCAGGGCTCTGTTGAGGCTGGCGTGGTAGCCCAGGTCACAGCACTGCTGGAAAAACACACACAATCCCAGGTGAATGAAGCTCCCAGGATGGGAATCTGAATGCTTCCAAAGGGCAGGAGTTGTGTAAGCAGGGAATGAGTTGTGGGGTTTTTGTCATCTGCTGGGGGGGCAGGGAGGTCCCACGCCTCTCACTGTCTGCACAGAGCACCTCAGCCTGTAACCCCATGCAAATTTTATCACCATGTTGTAATTATGTAGCTTAAATTATAAACTGTAATAGAAGCTTAAATTATTGTAACAGTTTGTGGGGTTTTCTTGGAGATTTACAGACTTATTTTTCATGGAGTACTAGAGACCCATTTCATCCAAAAATGAACTGGTGAATTTCAACAGCAGGGCAGTGGATTTCCCTAAATTCTACCCTGGCTTTTTTTAGGTGTGTTGTTCCTATGAAAGCACTCCAAAATCCTTAAATAACATCATTCAAAGGAAGAGAAAAGCAAGGCACTGAAGTGCTACTGGAGAGACAAGACACAGGATTTGGATCATCTATAAAAGCCAATCTGCACCCAAATAATTCCACAATTGCAGCAAACTGCTTCATTCCATGTACTTCAGGCAGGAGGAGCATGACCTGGACATGAAAACAGAGTCATCCAAAACCCAGCAGCCAGCAGTTGGGATGATTTCATTGCTGGGGTGAAACAGAAGAGCAAAAAACTTTGAAGCAAGAAGTGGTTATGGTCAAGAATTTCCTGGCTGTGGCTGACACTGGGATGATGTCACTGGGAGACAATCGAGCAGCTTCATTTCCACCACGGCTGCAGAGCCAAGTTTTCATGTTTCAGAAGGGGGAAAAAAAAAGGAGCTTTTCATTAGCATGAGATCAGAACCAGCCTGCATTTTTCAGCCATCTCATAAAGTGAGCAAGAAGGAGCCCACCTTGTTGGAATTACAAGCAAGATTACATCCACTAGGAGAATATCCAAAAAGGAAAGAAAGAGACCATCTGCTTGATTGCTGTGCTGCTCTGTAAGCAAAATTCACATGAAAACTCCGCCCAGCCCATCATTTGGGTCTCATCACTGTCATTGTTTGCCAACACAGAGGGGAAAAGGGGGGCAAAAAAAGGAGGAGGGGTGTGGGGAGAGGGAAGAGAAACTGCGGCACCAGTCCCTGCTCCCACAGAATTCCTGCCACCCAGTGCTGGAAGCCTGGCTCTGGTGCCAAAAAAGCTGTGGCAGGTGTGAAGCCTTGGAAAAAGAGCTGCAGTTGCTGGTTGGGCTGCAGGCAGAGAATTAAGGGATTTTACATTCAATCAGAAAAGAACAAAACCAGCCAAGCAAAAAAAAAAAATACCCACAACAACCCAAAAGCAAAACAAAAAGCAAAATAAAAGAGGCTTGATTGAGAATCTGCATGTGTGGAGGCAGCCTTGGATCAAGAGGCACTCCCAGCTACTGCTCACTCTGCAGGGCTGGTCCTGCAGCCATGGGGGGAAGATGGGACTGGGACCAGGACCAGGACCAGGACCAGGACCAGGACCAGGACCAGGACCAGGACCAGGATCAGCTCAGATTTAACAGCAGAACCCTCTCCTTTTCACTGAATTTTTGGGGTTGTAATTTTTGGGGTGATCTGGAGAACACCCAGGCCAAGGCAGGGTCACCTGGAGGTGACACAGGGACACGTCCAGGTGGCTTTGGGGTGTCTGCAGAGAGGGAATCTCCAGCACTTCCCTGGGCAGCAGTTCCAGGGCTCTGCCACCCTCATGGACAGAAGCTCTTCCTCACGCTGAGGTGGAAGTTCTTGTGTTGTAGTTTATTGCTCCTTGTCCTGAACAGAGCCTGGCACCATCCTGACATTCCTTGGGGAGATGGGCAGGGATTGATGGGATATTTTATGGATTGATGGGGTATTTTATGGATTAATGGGAGACTGGTATGGACTGATGGGATATTTTATGGATTGATGGGAGATTGGTATGGACTGATGGGAGATTGGTATGGACTGGTGGGAGATTGGCATGGATTGATGAGAGATTGGTATGGATTAATGGGAGATTGGCATGGACTGATGGGAGATTTTATGGATTCATGGAGTATTTTATGGATTCATGGGAGATTGGCATGGACTGATGGGATATTGGCATGGACTGATGGGAGACTGGCATGGATTGATGGGAGATTGGCATGGATTGGTGGGATATTTTATGGATCGATGGCATATTGGCAAGGATTGATGGGATGTTTTATGGATTGATGGGACCCCCTCTCAGCCTTCCCTTCTCCAGCCCCCCCAGTCTCTCCTCACCAGGGAGATGCTCCAGACCCCAAATCATCTTTGTGGGTTCTGCTGGACCCTCTCCAGCAGCTCCTTGTCATCCCTCAACTGCAGAGCCCAGAACTGGACACACTTCCTGCTGTGAGACAGGTGCTTGTGCACCCTCCCAGTGTGACCAGTTTGTCCTCCCAGTGTCCCCAAAAATGCACTGGGAGGACTGGGAATCCACAGGGGAGTTAATGTGGCACGCCCCACCTGGCTCAGGCAGAATGTGTTGGCTCTTTGCTACTGAAGCCACTGACAGAAAACATTTCCCCCACCTAAAAGGTTTTTTTTTAAGTCCAGTGTTCCATGTTTATAAAAGCACCAGTCCTGCCATCCCTTTTCTGGGTTATATAAATGTTTGATGGAACCATTCTCGAAGGAAATCAATTTTTTATAAGAATTTAATGATAACTCATTCAAATTCACTTCCCAACATGACAGCTGATTAACCCTTTGTCAGTCAGCTTTCAAACAGGCCGCAAAAGTAGAAGATTTAAGGGGGAAAAGCCCTTTGTTGTAAAATGCAATTCACATTTGGAAGGGGAAAGATGAGATCCTGGAGTAACACCTACTCCTAGAGGAGCAAAGCAGGCTCTGGCACTCACACACACATTTTTATCTTTTTTTTTTTTTCTTTTTCCAATCCTGTCCTAGTGACCCTTTTATAAATATGAGTTAATGCAAACTTCCCCATTACTGTAATATTTCATTAGCATCAAAGAGCTGTCTCAGTCCCCAAAGTCAGGAAATTCAAAACTACTGGGCTATGGCAGAAACAATTTATTGCTCTTAACTCTCAACAAAGAATTAACTCCCTGTTATCCTCCTCTGCAAACTGCAGAGGGAACAATGTGCTGGATAAACATGACATTAAACATAAAGTTTAATGCTGTTTGGCCTAACACAATCTCCTTGTAAGTAACTTTGAAGATTACTTTTATATTCTATTTCAAAATTCAGTATCACCAAATGATTAGATCGAGGGAAGGCATTACAGCCTGGCTTAAAAATCACATTTTTATTCAAGTCAGATGGCTCAGATAACCATCACTGGTTATAATTGTTAATTTTCAATCCTTCAGGATCAAAGGCATTAATAAATCTATTTTCCCTGTGTCTTAACAATGAGATAACTGAACTCCATCCTGTGCTCCCAGACAAGCCCCACATTTCTCCATGCCTGAACACAGAGCAGATAACACTTTTATTCTGAAGATGATGGAAACTTGTAGAGTTAAACTGAATGCTCCAAGGGCAGGGACTCACCCAGAGCCACCAGGGCTCCTCTCTAGGAACACACAAATCCCTGGAATTCAGAACTTGGGGTTCTTGTTCTGCCATGCCCCAGACACAGCTGGGACTGCCCAGGGAGAGCAGCTCTTCCTTCCAGGCTGGGCAGCCCAGATTTGTCCTGTCCTGCTGCAAACAGCCCTGTGCTTACAAATTACTCTGGGATGTGAAACCCAAATGGACTCTTTGCTACCTGTGATTAATTAAAATACACCAAAAACAGGCAACTGCACCAGGCAGCATTTGGGGGAAGACTTGAGAGACAGGGCTTTAGATGAAAAAAATTAAAACAATTAAATCAGGCTGATGCTGGTGAAATGAATCCCAATCTTGTAGCTTTGATATAAATATATACAGAGTTCTAATTTGTTAAAAACCCAGGGCCACGCAATTAAGGTTGAGCAAATGTTAACCAAAACAGGGCTCCTAAAAAGGCAGCAGGAATAAACAAACCAGGCCTCTCCAGTGCAGCAATCCTGCAAACCATGACATTTGGAAATAACAGCATTTTTCAAGCCCACTCTCAGTGACAGCCCTGACCTCCAAAGGACAGGTTTAAATCAACACCTGGCACAAGAGCACTCCAGGCGAGTTCATCATCAGCTGAATAAATGTATCCTATAGACTGCTGCTTATTCTAATAGCTGAGTAATTAATAGAGATCTGAGTGCTCTTTATTGCCTGTGTCTAGAGACTCTTGTGCTCAGCACTCCCTGCTCCTCCTCAGCAGCTCCCTCCAGGCTCTGCAGTGCTTCCAGCAGGGATGGCCTTGGAAAGGAGCAGGATCCACAGAGCCACTGCCCCACTATCCTTGGCAATAACCTCAGGGTTCCTCACTGGCTTTGCTGAGTTCTCAAAAATCAGAATTTTGGAGGTTTTTTGGGTTTTTCTTTGCGGTGCGTTTTACCAAAAGCAGAATTGCTGCCCCCTGAATGATGGGGAGACTGAAATATGTCTTGGTGGGCAGGGAAAGGATCAGAGGGAAGGGCTAGAGCTGTGTCAGGGAGGTTTGGGATGGAGATCAGGGAAAGGTTCTTCCCCCAGAGGGTGCTGGGCACTGCCCAGGGAATGGGCACTGCTGAAACCTTCCAGAGCTCCAGGAGTGCTTGGACAGCACCCTCAGGCACAGGGTGGGATTTTGGGGTGTCTGGGCAGGGCCAGGAGCTGGACTGGATGATTCCAGCTGTGCAGAACTCAGAGTATTCCATAATTCAATTTGGACTTTCCCAAAGTTAAAAGCAGCTTTAGGAAACACCTCTGAACTCCCTCCCTTCTACCAAATTCCTTCAACTGTTTCTATAAACATCTTTTTTTTCAAACGTGCTGCTGACTTAAAATCTTGTGGCTTTGCTTAAAATAGCCCACAGAAAATGTCAGGCAGCAGTGTGACACTGAAGCTGGGCCCCCCTTTAACTCAGCAGCTCCTCCTTTTCCCCCTGCCAGTGAGAGAAAAGCTCCTTGTCTGTCTAACAGAGGTGGCCACCTGACAAAAGCTCTTGGGACAGCTTCAGGACCAATTATCAGCCCACTGCCAGCCCCAGGCTGCCCAGGCCAGCTGTGCAGAGGTTTCCAGCTGTGCAGAGGTTTCCAGCTGTGCAGAGGGAGGAGAGGGCTGTGGGAGGCTCCTGGCCCCAGCAGCAGCACTTACATCAATGAGATCAGACAGGTCATGGATGTAGTACTTGAACACCGAGGCATTGGTGGCTTCCAGGGCCAGCAGATACTCATTCCTTGCCTTAATTGCCTTCAGTCTGTTTTCTGTGTACTTTGCTTGGCGCTGAAAGAACAAAAACCAGAATACAGCATTAAAAGAGGTGAGCAGCACTCTGAGTAACACCAGAGAACAATGAACAAACCTTACTCTGCTCACACACATTTTGCCCCATTTGAATTCCAGTTTTGCCAGGACTCCAAGACTTAAAATGCAGATGAATTATTTAGATGTGTTTAAGCATTGCTACCCTGGATTCAAAGTCTTGAGGCTGTGGGATGGGGAAGATTGAAAGAGGAATGAAGGGACAAAGGGGTTTAGGAGGTGATGGCCCAGCTCCAGCACCACCAGAGAAGCCCATGAGGGCCTCAGGGGTGCTACAGACACCCCACCTCTTCCAAGGCCTGAACTTGGTCCTTCCAGAGCCCAAATCCATCCAAAAATAACCCCTTCCCTTCCATGGGCTTGAACCTTAGAGCTGCACTGCTGGAGTCACCATTGAGGCCACTGGTTCTGCCCTCAAAGCCAGTTTGGGGTTGCTGGGCTCCCTGGAGCACAGGCCTTGTGCTCTGGACAACAGAAACAACCACATCAACCAGGAATTCCAGCAGGCAACTGCTGCTCTCCCACTCTAACCTGGTTTCAGCTTTTTGTGCCATGCACATCCCACTTTTTTTGTGCACATCCCATTCCCTGGGATAGCACAAACTGCCTGTCCTAAAGGCTGGGTTTGCCTTCTCTTCAGGTGGCTGTTAACAAAACCTGCACCAAGAGTGAGATTTGGCTCTGAGGAGGGAACCAGAGGCTCCTGTGCAACTGCTGCTTTCCCACTCTAACCTGGTTTCAGCTTTTTGTCCATGTCTATCCCATATTTGTGCATACCCCATTTTTATGCACATCCAATTTTTATGCACATCCCATTTTTGTGCCATGCCCATCCCATTTTTGTGCCCATCCCATTTTTGTGCCCATCCCATTCACTGGGATAACACAAACTGCCTGTCCTAGAGGAATCTGTGGCTGGTTTTGCCTTCCCTTCAGCTGGCTGTTAACAAAACGTGCACCAAGAGTGAGATTTGGCTCTGAGGAGGGAACCAGAGGCTCCTGTGCAACTGCTGCTTTCCCACTCTAACCTGGTTTCAGCTTTTTGTCCATGCCTATCCCATATTTGTGCATATCCCATTTTTGTGCACATCCAATTTTTGTGCACATCCCATTTTTGTGCACATCCCACTTTTATGCACATCCCATTTTTGTGCCATGCCCATCCCATTTTTGTGCCCATCCCATTTTTGTGCCCATCCCATTCACTGGGATAACACAAACTGCCTGTCCTAGAGGAATCTGTGGCTGGTTTTGCCTTCCCTTCAGCTGGCTGTTAACAAAACGTGCACCAAGAGTGAGATTTGCCTCTGAGGAGGGAGCCAGAGGCTCCTGCCAGTACCTTCTCCTTCATCTTCTCAATTTTTTTGACAGAGCTCCTCCGGACGTGTTTCTCCTCAAACTTGACATTGGAGGTGGAGTCAGGGGAGCGTGGGGTCTGCTTGTCCTCCTGCTTCACTGACTTCCCAATCTGCTTCTCCTCCTGCTTCTCTGCCTCCTTCAGCTTGCTCTGGGCACTGATGCTGTCGGCGTTGTACATGTGGTAGGTTTTCATCACCTGCAGAACCAAACCCAACACTCAGTGCCCGGCTGTTGGTCTGCAACACCTGAACCAGGAAAAAAACCCACTCAGGGGAACTCCCCAGGTCAGAAAAGCAGGGCAGTGTCACTGTTATATTTTCTAAAAAAATCCCTTTGCCAGGATTTCTTCTCCTGGGAAGCTGAGAAGCCTCAGAGAAAAATGTAAACAATAATTATCTGATTTGCTTCTCCCGTGTTTTGCTGCTTTGGAATGTAGCCTAGAGATTGTTTATCCAACAGGTGGTTGTTTGATTAGTTTCATGTGAATTGTTTTAACTTAATGACCAATCACAGTCCAGCAGGACTCTGGAAAGAGTCACGAGTTTTCATTATCATTCTTGTTAAGCCTTCTGTCTGTGTCTTTTATTCTTTGGTATAATTTTAGGATAGCATTCTATAATAGAATAGAATAGAACAGACATAATAATATAATATTAAATAATATAATATAATAAATAATAGACATAATAATATAATATTAAACAATATAATAGAATAAATAATATAATAAATAATATTATATTATAGTATATTATATATAAATAATATAATATTAAGTATGTAATATTACAATATATAATATAATATAATATAATATAATATAATATAATATAATATAATATATATGAACCTTCTAAGAACATAGAATCAAATTCACTCATCTCTCCCCTCATCAGGGTTGTCTGCAAGTTCAGCAGGGCAGGAGGTGCCCGAGAGAGTGGGGCTCTCAAAATGGGTCTGAAACCCAAGAGGGTGATTTGGTGTGTGCCTTCTTGCACCAGGCAGAAAAGGAGGCACAAAAACAACAAAAAAAAGGCTGCAGACTAATCCAGCCTCCTTGACTGTTCAAAGGAAGTGATATGGCAGGAAAATGAGAGCTTTTCATCAGCAGGTAAGGTTTCTGAAGGGAGCCCTACCAGCCTTTCATCTGGGTGAATCAGAGCTTTGAACAGCACAGCATGGAAATCCAGTCTCAGCACAGGGGCTGCAAGAGCCACTCAGGTGGCACTTGTTCAAATCAAATCTGGGGCATAAAAGTACTTCTGGGTATCTTATGTAATAAAAAAAATATATAATAAAATAAAATTATAAATTATGAGTAAATTATTAATTATATATTATGAATAAATTATAAAAGTATAAATAAAATAAATAAAAATAATAATAAACAAGTGTAGTTCTTGGCTTTAGGGAGACCTGGACCTCGTGCTGTATGGACAACTTCTATTATAGCACATTTTTATTAGTAAATATAGATAAATATCCCACCCCCAGTCACAAAAATCCCATTTGTTTCATGTGATATTAATGTCTAGATTTGTGTTAAGCAAATAGAACCAAAGGACAAGAGGTCTAAATCAGTTTTTTATCCATAAATGCAAAGCAATTTGAATCCCTCACCTAAACAAACAAGATACAACACTCACAGGGGGCAAAAAAAAAAAAAAAAGCACAATTGCATGAAGTCACCCATTCCAGCAGCAATAAAGGCTCCACTTGTGAATAATTTGATTTATTTCGGATGAAAACCCGTTTACAGCTATTTTGCAGCAGAACATAACACAATTTTACCTAAGTGGGCTGCGTGCTCCCCCTCTGCAGCGATCAGCAGAGGTCCCAGATTCAAAGAGACTCTGGGTTTAAACATGAAAGGGAATGTGACTGCAGCCAGTGCTAAAGAACATCCTGAATAATTCACACCCCGCACTCCCAGCCCCTGCAGATGCTCAGACTATAAAGCAGGCGTTTATAATTATAATAATAGATGCAAAGGAGTTGCCTTTCCTCTCTTGCTCAGAGCAGAGCTGGCAGAGAGCAAAAGCAGAGGGAGAAATCCCAATTTTGGTGGGTTTTTAATGGTTTTGTGCCACGCTGGCAGCCACAGGCTCTGGTGTGGGGACACTGCTGAGGGCACAGGACAAAAAAATTCCAGGCTGGGACATCCCTCTGTGTGTTATTTGTGTAGAGAAAGTAAAGATTTCATCATTTTGCCCAAAAGCAGGGATTCTGCCAATCCTCTGGATATGGAATTAGGGAATTATTGAGGTTGGGAGAGACCTGCAGGATCATCCAACCTTTGGTTGATCCCCACATTGAGGTTGGGAGAGACCTGCAGGATCATCCAACCTATGGCTGATCCCCACTTTGTCACCCAGGCCAGAGCCCTCAGTGCCACATCCAGGAGAAAAAGAGGTGGAATTATTTCTAAAAGTCCCACTAAATTCAATCACTGGTGGGGTGGATTTAATTCCAGCAAAAAAAAAAAAAAAAAAAAAAAGGGTCTTTCTTTTTTATTTTTGTAGGACTATAGGACAAAAGGGGATAAAAGCCCCCACCTACCATTTCAACTGCCAGCATTACCATGCCAAGGATGCCATGGAGCATATTTTTCCTGGCTTCTTTGAGGATTCATTCTGCTGCATTACTCACTAATAGGAACAGTTCTCAGTTGTTTTTTATTTGGTAGTTACTTACTGTAAAATCTTTTAGATGTTTTGAAGTCCATTTTCATGTCTTCTTTTGAATGTCCCAGCAATGAATCTTCAAGCGAAATATTATTCGGGTGAAATTAAAAAAAAAAAAAAAAGCGTCTTTTAGCACCACCAGAAGTGGCTTTTTGCAATGGCAAAGCTTTTCTGGTGAAGGGACAATTTAGATCTCTGCAGCAGGAGGAATGAATAAATAAACAGATTTCAAATTCCCAGCACTGCCATTAAAAATATCAATACCTTACTTCACTTTGTTTAGCAAATTCTGGAAGATCTTCCCTCCAGGGGTAATTATCAGAATTCACTATTTGGCTCAAAAAATGACCTGTCAGAGCCTGGCACCCAAAAACGACCCCCAGTTCATGAAGCTCCACTCCAGAGCCACTCCAGATCAGAAATTGTTCCTAAAATCTGTTTTTTAGCAGATTCATGTCCTACCTTAGGATCCCATCCATGACAGGACTCAAAAAATGAGCCAATTATGCCCTCAAATAGAAAACCATTTCTGGAGTGCTGATTTGCCTGAATATTTGGCTTTGAGGCTCTAATTGTAACAAATTGCAATGAAACAATTCCCTCTATACATTTTACTGATAAAGGAAATTTCAGGGAAGCCCCTGAAACTCTGTAAAACTGATTTTTACCCCAAATTTCACCACAGGGTCAATATGCCACAGCCTGAGAAACAACCCTGAGTCACCTTTTGGAAGGAGGAAGGGCAGGATATAAACCTCAGTGTCATGACCCAACAGATCACTGAGGAAGGACAAAATAAAAGACATTTTGAGCCACTGAACACTGAGTTCTGCTTTTAAAGAAGAGAACTTGCTCAGCAACAGCAAAATTTTCTTTAAGCAAGAGGTTTTTCCATTCAATAATGTGAGGAGAAGAAAAATCCCCACGCAGCACATGAGCCCTTGGGGACAAATCCTCCCTCCTCTTCCTCCTCCTCTTTGGGGTCTCAAGTGGATTTACTGAGAAATAAAAAGCAGAGATAGAAAATCTCCCCCTAAAAGGAGCTCTTCTGCTGAGAGCTGAGGGACAAATAATCTCAGTGGGTGCCTCTGAAGGCTCACACCACACAAAGACCACGATTTTTGGCATATTTGGAAATAATTCTCCTCTTTCTGGCTCTTTTTTAAACCATCACTGCAGCGAAGTGTGTGAAGGTGAGACAACACTTAGAGAGCTGAAACCACACGGGGACAGAGGGGAAAAAAATGGGATTTATGGAGCTTCAGAGCAGGGATTGCAGCCTTTTCTCAGGCAGAAGTCAAACACTTCTGCCTGAGGAGATGCCAAGAAATCAGTTTGATTTACCGTGTAGAGTTCATTCAAAACCTTCATCAAGTCCTCCTGGAGCTGCAGTCCCACTTCCTTGCTCTGCAACAGAAGAGAGAAATGAAAGTTAATTGAGGAAGATGCTGCAGAGGAAGTGAGCAAGGGGCATCCACAAATGATTTAGGCACAATTAAGCACCACTGGTAAATCCAATCAGTGCCCAGCCCAGGGGCACTCAGTGTTATGTTGAAGCAGGGGTGTTAATAAACTGAAATCTCAGGTGGGCACAGTCAGGGAGAAAAAAAGAAGAAAAAAAAAAAGGGAAAGAAAAAGGAAAAAAAGGAAAAAAAAAGAAAAAAAAGAAAAAAGGGGAAGAAAAAAAGGGAAAAAAAGGGAAAAAAAAAGAAAAAAAGGAAAAAAAGGAAAGAAAAAGAAAAAAAGAAAAAAGGGGGAAAAAAAGGAAAAAAGAAAAAAGGGGAGAAGGAAAAAAGGAAAGAAAGAAAAAAAAGGATAAAAAAGGGGGGGAAGAGGGGGGAAAAAGAAGATAAAGGAAAAAAAGAAAAAAAAAAAGAAAGCTCGATGGAACATAGATGGAAATTTCCAGAGAACATGAGATTTTCAATTTTCAAGTCTGAAAATACAGAATTTTCCCATTTTCACAGGATCAAGCAGGACTGTGGATGCAGGACAGCTTGGTGTGAAAGCTGAAGAAAAGCAGGACAAGGAAACCACCACCTAACAAGAATAACTTAATTCAGTTTATAGATTTTATTCATTCACTACGGCAGCATTTGCATGCTCGAAGCCTCGTGTTACAAGTGTTTCATATCTACTGGGGCAAGCAAATTTGATAAACTCAAGATTATTTATGCCTACAACATTCAGGAAAAGAAACAGATAAAGAGGCAGTGCAGCCAAACCCAGGCTTAAACCAACATTTCTGCCCAGGAAGTCAAGATAGTGCTAAGCCATGAGGAAAAAACCCAAAAACACACTGAGAAATTGGAAAGCCAGAAGAGAAAGATTATCTGATTGAAATTTAAATTATTCTTTGCCCCACACTGTCCAGTTCAGCAGTGCTTGGAGTTTCTGAGATTAAAAAAATTGCTTTATTAGAGACTTTTAAAAATTATTTTGGGGTGTCGTGGTTCAGACCAGCCTGGCATTGTTCTGTTGGGATTCACAGGTATCCAATGCCCAATCCTTTGGATTTTCCAGATGTTCCAATCACATATTCCTCACCCTGCTGCCCAGGTGCTACAGGAAAAAGGAGCATCAGACACAAACACTGACAAAGAAAAGCTTTTCCTGAGGAGTCTCTAATTTAGAGAGACTTCCTTGATTCCAAACAGGGTTTTCTCCCCATAAATATCCTCAATTGAGTGGATATGGCAGGGAAAGGTCCCTGCTCCAGCAGCCCAGGGAACCTCCCAGCTAAAAGCAGAGCAGAAAATGTGTTTTAAACCCAGCAGGGCAGGCAGATGCTGAGCTGGTACCTGGCTCAGCTCAGAGGCACAGCCTGTCCTGAGGCCCCTCTGCCCACAGAATAAATCTGCTTTTCTGCCCATTAACATTTGCCCATCACTTCACAATAGCCATATGTAAAAATCTGTCAGACTGAAAAGAATCAGTTTGTCCAGATACTGCTCTAATTTAGAGAAAATCACAGAACTGGTGATTCCCAACCTCCAGGGGAGTTTGAGGAACAAACCCAGAGGATTTCACCTCTGGAAGCAGCAGGAGCTGAAGCTGCCCTGAGGTGATCTGGGATGCTCTGGCTGCCTGTCCTGGATTGCCAAGCAGATTGTGTTCTCTTTGCCATCTGTATGGCAGTTGTCTTCTGTTAATTAGGCAGTTTTCCTTATCTCTTCCACAGCCTCTGGAAGCAGCAGGAGCTGAAGCTGCCCTGAGGTGATCTGGGATGCTCTGGCTGCCTGTCCTGGATTGCCAAGCAGATTGTGTTCTCTTTGCCATCTGTATGGCAGTTGTCTTCTGTTAATTAGGCAGTTTTCCTTATCTCTTCCACAGCCACTCCTCTCTCTGGGGGGACATCTGCTGAGAACAGGCTATGGAATGTCCCTGCATGGCTGATAAGAACTACAGCATCCATGGGAGATGTGAGCCCAGGGGAGGAGCCAAGCATTCCTGCCTGGATACAATCTGAGATTCTGGAACACCAGCACGGCTTCTCCACTGGATTTCCCAGAGGAACAGCAGCTGCCTCTTCCCCTGGATCTTCAGAGGAAGACTTCACCCTTCTACAGGATCCCTGCTCCAGCAGAACCACCCCTGGCACTGCAGGAGGGCTGCAGCCACAATTCCAATGGGACTGCTGCCAGCACCCTGACCCACAGGGTGTCAGGTGTGTTCTGACTCTGTCACTGTTGTTTTAGTTTACTGCATTGTTTATTTTATCTTTTTATTTTCTTCCCTAGTAAAGAACTGTTATTCCTGCTCCCATATTTTT